CTCCCCAAAGCCCCCCTTGAGGGTGGCTCGAGATTCCTCACCCTTTGGGAATGCAGGAGCAATGTGCTGTGATTGTGAGTGAGTGTATTTGCACCCAGACAGATGCCAGGATGGACTCAGGTCCAGGCAGAGACAGGGGGAAGTTCAGCTCCCCAGTGGCTCAAGTTGAGAGAAGGTAGGTTGTGTAGGAGCCAGCTAGCATCCCTGGGTATGTGCTTCCTCCTGGCATCCTCGCCCATGCCACTGTCTTCACTCTGGTCCCCTCCCCAGGGCTTTGGTGCCATCTCACTATCTCCTGAGGCCTGAGACTTCTGTCAACCACGTTGGGGTGCTGCCTCACCACATGCCTGCCTAGCCTGCTTTTCACCTGACATCCCTCCCTGCCCTGCGGGCCTGGCTGGGCTCTGCAGGCCTGGAGCCTGGATGGGAGCCTCCCTTTGGCCGCATTTGAGCCTCAGGGCTCTGCCACCCACAGTGGCTCCTGTGGCAGGAGCTCTAATGAGAACTGAGAGGCTGCAGGTACCCAGATGTCCCTGATGCTGAGGCAGCACTCCAATGTGATGCTGGGTTGGTTGGGAAGCTAGGCTCGGAAGCTTTCCATTTCAGTGTGCCCAAGCCAGCCGGGGCTATAGCTGGCCCAGGTGACACTGCCTACCAGATATGAGGCCGGAGGCCCAGCCCAGCACTGCACAGAGCCTAGGACTCTGCCTCTCAGGTGTGGTGAGGTCCTGGACTCCAGGTCCATCCTGGTCCTTGGGGGCCTGAATGACTGGATCCAGAGTACCTGGGCAGTGCTCCCTGCACAGTGTTCAGTGCCCCTTGCCACCAGGGCCAGAGAGGGGGCAGAAGAGCCAGAGGGGAGAGTCCCCGGGTGACTCTGAGCTCTCGTGCAGCTGGGCAAAAGAGGAAGGTGGAAGATATGACACTTTCCACAGGGCCCAGGGCCCATTACCACAGATACCACCTCTGAGCCAAGGCCTCAGTGCACCTGCCTGAGGGAGGGAGCAGCTCGGCCACGATGGCGAGGCTCTAGGCCATAATCTACCCCGCTCCTGCGTAGCTTCCAGGAGGGTCTCTGGCAGTGAGTGCCACGTTGCTGCCAGCCACTGTGGCTGCCCGGGTGTTCTGCCTTCCCCTCCTGACTGGCTGCAGGACAGAGTCTGCTCAAGGACAAGGACAGTCCTCATGCTGCGGGGACTGTGGTTCAGGAGTGTGTGGGGATCCGGGCTCTTAATATAGACCAGGGTGCAATCACTGGGGTGGAGAAAGGCCATGTGGCAAGCCAGGAACCCCACTGGAGTTGGAACCCCAGGGCTGGGGAAAGGGAGTGGGCGGTTTCACTGTCTTTGTGGGACCGGGCCCCTCCCCGCCCCGTCTCCCCACAGACACCCCCTATGAGCAGCTTAGAATAGGTTCTCAGGGCCCTCTGGATATGTGCATGGCCACAGTCTCAAGTGGGAACATGACGAGGTGAGGGCTTTGTTGCCAAGGTGCAGAGTGGCCCCCAGTCAGGGGTCTGGCCGCTTGGCAAGAGCTCTGTTGGCCAGTGAGGCCAGGGGCGTTGATCTGGAGTCAGTGCTTTGGCACTGAGACAAAGGGGAGAGGTGCAGTGCTGCCTGCAGCTGGGAGTGGATGAGAAAAGCTGGGAAAATGCCGGGCCTGCAGAGTAACAGCCCCAAGGGTGTCTATATCCTGGTCCCCAGAACCCAGTTACGGGTTACAGGGTGGAGACCCTTTCCTAGGAGGGACGGAGAGGTGCAGTGTCAGGGCTCCTCCATCCTGGTGCTGGCTTAGATGGAGGGAAGGACCATGAGCCAGGGTGCACAGTACTGTATAGAAGCAAGGTATGACCTTCAGGTGACAGCCAGCAAGCAAACAGGACCTCAGTCCTACAGCCTTGAGGAACTAAATTCTGCCAACACCTGAAAGAGCAGGAGAAATAGGCCCTCGTGAGCCTCTAGAAAGGAGGGTAGCCTGCTGACAGCTGGATCTCAGCCCAGGGGACCCAAACCACATTCCTGCCCTCCAGAACTGGAACTGCAGATGCTGCACGTGTGCCATGCAAGCTGCTTAGTTCATGATTGCATGTGATCATTCTGGCAGCAACTGAAAAACTGATATGCCACAACACTGACAAGGCTGTGGGACACAGGCTTCCCCACCTTCCACTGCAGCAGTGGACATGGAGTTGGTACCACCATGTCCTCTGGTTAGCCCAGAGTGCTCTAGTAAAGGTGGTGTTATGTGTCAGGGTGAGGGGGAAAGCCTGAGCCCCCAGCAGGGCGCTGCTCAGGGGAGCCTCCACTGAACAGAGGGCTGAGCAGAGCCAGTCATTTCTTATTTAGTGAGAAAAGCAATGCACAGAACTGTGCTTTGGTTTGTTTTGTGAACTGTGTGCTAAGTGTGTACATTGGCTCATGTATGCAGGCAGTAATTTGAGAAGAGATCCCTGGCAGCACTTGTGGGGGTGGGCCTGAGCCTGTCCATGTGCCCTTTGTTACATTTGCCTGTCGGTTCTAGGGGTTGGGAGGGATGATCTTGGAGGGGAGAGGGGGCTTCCTCAGGGCTGGGGGCTGCACCCCAAGCCAGCCCATTGTAAACCTGCAGCTACCAGGGTCATCTCTTCAGGACCCAAACCCTTCCCCAGCGTGCTGTCGGCATGTCCTCCCAAACTGAGGCTTGCCCTTTTACTAAGCCAAAGTTCTTTGCTTTGGTGAAGCCCAGTTTGTCAGTGTTTTTTCCCTCAGACTGTTACTACATTGGGGCTCCTGAGAAAACTTTGTCCAGCCCAAGGCTGCAAAGGTATTCTCTTGTTTCTTCGAGAAGCCTTAGAGTTTTCACTTTCACATTTAGGTCTCCCATCCATTTTTAGAAAGCTAGCTTTTGAGCGTGCTTTCATGAACTATTTCTCTGTAGCAGGCAATACTGTTTGATAGCATTTTACCCACAGAACTTCTTTCAAACCTGGAGTTGTCCTCTCAGACTCTACTGCTTTATCAACTAAGTTTATGCAATATTTTAAATCCTTTGCTGTCATGTCAACAATCTTCACAGCACCCATCTCAAGAAACCACTTTTCTTTCCTCATCCTAAGCAGCAGCACCTTATCCATTCAAGTTTGATCATGAGATCACAGCAAGTCAGTTCCATCTTCAGACTCTTCTAATTCTAGCAGTTACCTCCTCCACTGAAGTCTTGAAACACTCAAAGTCATCCAGGAGAGTTGAAATCGACTTCTCCAAACTTTTATGCACACTGGTACTTTGACCTCTTCCCACATACCGTGAATGCTCTTAGTGGCATCTGGAGTGGTGGCTGACTGTGGCAGCTGTGGCCTTAGGAGCTGAACTTCTTAAATACAACTTGGAAGTAAAAGTCCTTGTTCCACCGGCTTCAGAACGTATGTCGTGTCAGCAGGCGTGAGAGCACCACTCGATTCACTGGACGTCATCTCCAGCTGCTGTTTCATCTCCATCAGAACTCCTGGGTGCTCTGTTCAGCAGGCAGTCATATTTTGAAAGGAATCTTTTTTTTCTGAGCAGTAAGTCTCAGCAGTGGGCTTACGTTCGTTACTCAATAAACCATCTGTAAACAGATATGCTGTCGCCCAGGCTTTGTTGTTCACAGAGCACAGGCAGAGTTGAGTCAGAATCCTTCTTCACCCCTAGGGTTTGGGGAGCAGTCACTGAGCACTGGCTCCCACTCAGTCACCAGCTGCATCAGCCCCTACCCACCAAGAGAGCCAGCCTGGCCGTGGGAGCTTTGAGGCCAGCCATTGATTTCTCCTACATCAGAACTTGCTGCTTCACCCTGCACTTTTTTGTTAGGTAGATGGTTTCCTTTTTCAGACCTCACAAGCTTCCACGTTTTCTTCTGCAGCTTCCTCCCCTCTCTCAGCCTTCATAGAATTGAAGAGAGTTCAGGCCTTGCTCTGGATCAGGCTTTGGCTTAAGGGAATGAATGCTGTGGCTGGTTTGATCTCTTATCCAGACCACTAGAACTTCCTCCGTCCAGCAGTGAGACTTCCCCCACCACACCATCCCTGAGGCCGCCGGAGGGGCACCTCCCGTCTCCTTCAAGGACTCTTCCTCTGGGTCCACGGCTTGGCTGCTCAGCTCCAGAGGCCCAGCTTCCAGCCTGTCTCAGCCTCCAACATGCCCTCCTCCCTGAGCTGGATCTTTTCTAGCTGTTGATCTGAAGTGAGAGATGGGCGATGGGCAAATGAATCTTCCTTTCACTGGAACACTTAGAGGCCATTGTAGGGTCATTAAATGGCCTAAATTCAGTATTACTGACTCAGGGAATGGGGAGGCCCAAAGAGAGGGAGAGGGACAGGGGAATGGCGGTTGGTGGAGCAGTCAGAACACACATTATTAATTAAGTTTGCTTGATGGGTGTCGTTCATGGAAGCCCAAAACAATGACAACAGTGACACCAAAGATCACAGATTGCAACAAACATCACAATAATGAAAGTTTGAAATATTGTTAGAATTACCAAAATGTGACACAGAGACACAAACTAAGCAAATGCTGTTGGCAAAACAGTGCCCAAAGACTTGCTCGATGAATGGTTGCCACAAACCTTCAGGGTGTTCATAAATGCAGTATCTGCGAAGCACAGTAACCGAAGTGCCTAATCACAGGTGTGCCTGTTTTGATCTTTTAAGATTGGTGTATTGTCTGCTAAATCCTTCAGTCCCCACCAACTCCCTTATCCAGAGTAGATCTTGTTTCATAAATGTTTTGAGTCCGTTTTTTGACCGCCACACAGGCAGGTGGGTGTGTACATGGGCAGGCTTGTGACAAACTATATACCATGTTCTAGAGGTGGACAGGAGGTGAGCAGTAGCTGCCATGTTGGCCCAGGGAGCAGGTGGCAGGCTACATGGGGTAGGGGCCTGGGTGATGCCAGTCCCCTGGCTCTTGGCGAGAGGAAAGCCAGAGCAGGCTAGGACAGGGCAAAGGGCAGGACTCTGACATGAGTGGCTCGTTTTGCAGATCCGGAACATGGTGGCGGTGCTGGAAGTCATCTCCAGCCTGGAGAAATACCCCATTACCAAGGAGGCACTGGAGGTGAGTGTCCCAGGGCCAAGCACTGGGAAGGGCAGCATGGGCCATCCCAGCCCTTAGTCCTTCCCAGCTTCTCGGACCCTCAGAGCCTTTGCTCACTGGCCAAGCAAGGACTGGAGAGGGCTGAGCAGGGGGCTGCCCTCCAGGCCTGTGCTGCATCAGGCCACAGCACATGCTCCGAGCGGTGCTTCCCTGGGGGAACTGTAGGGACTGGGGGGCTTCAGTCCAAGGGCTGGGGCCCACCTCTGGGACACCCTGCACACTTGTGGCTGGGGACATGCCCAGGGAGGCCCCAGTGAATAGTGCTGGCTCAGGCCCTCTGTTCGCTGTTAACTTTGCCGCAGAGTGCTCTCACCAGAAAGCTTCCTTGGCATGGCATCCTCACAGCGGCCTTACTGCTCTGCTGGTACCTCTGCAGGCACCAGGAGCCTGCAGGCCAGTGCTGCTTATAGGGTGCTGCCTGTGGCCCTGGGACCCTGAGGACTGGACTTGAGAATTCAGATGCCCCAAAGTTTTGTCCAGGAAATCAGTTTATGAGTCAACAGGGGCCATACTAAAGACAGGGGGCCCTTCCCACTGTTTCTGGCTCAGCCCCCTCTTCACGGGGACTTCCTGTCCCATAAGCATGTCATCATCTTTCTGATTGTAGGAAACGCGACTTGGGAAGCTCATCAACGACGTCCGCAAGAAGACGAAGAACGAGGAGCTTGCCAAGCGGGCCAAGAAGCTGCTGCGGAGCTGGCAGAAGCTCATCGAGCCCGTGCACCAGAATGAGGCGGCGCTGCGGGGACTGGCAGGCGGCCCCGGCTCTGCCAACGGGGGCGCCCATAACTGCCGGCCTGAGGGGGGAGCGGCTGGCACTCCCAAGAGCATCCACGACCTGAAGAACCGCAACGACATCCAGAGGCTGCCTGGGCCACGGCTGGACAGGCTAGGCAGCCGCAAGCGCCGGGGGGACCAGCGTGACCTCGGCCACCCTGGGCCACCTCCCAAGGTCTCCAAAGCCAGCCACGACTCCCTGGTGCCCAATTCCTCCCCCCTCCCCACTAACGGAATCGGCGGGAGCCCAGAGAGCTTCCCCAGCCCGCTGGACAGCAGTGGGCACATGGGCCCCGAGGGTGGCCACCTGGAGCACAGCGAGAACGACAAGCACAGCGGCAAGATCCCGGTCAATGCTGTGAGGCCACACACCAGCTCTCCGGGCCTGGGCAAGCCCCCCAGCACCTGCTTGCCGGCCAAGGCTGTAGTGCTGCAGCAGCTGGACAGGGTGGATGAGACCCCAGGCCCCCCACACCCCAAGGGGCCACCGCGCTGCTCCTTCAGTCCCCGGAACTCACGGCACGAGGGCTCCTTTACCCGGCAGCGAAGCCCATACACACCCAGAGGTTCCGTGCCCAGCCCCTTGCAGTGGTCCCAGTCGCTGGATGCCACGCAGGTGCCATCACCACTTCCGCTGGCCCAGCCATCCACCCCCCCCGTCAGGCGGCTCGAGCTGCTGCCCAGCGCTGAGAGCCCAGTGCGCTGGCTGGAGCAGCCCGAGGGCCACCAGCGGCTGGTGGGGCCAGGCTGCAAGGCGGGGCTGCCCCCGGCCGATCCCCTCCTGCCCCGGGCGGGCTTCTCCCCGGACTCCTCCAAGGCGGACAGCGACGCTGCCTCCTCTGGTGGCTCGGACAGCAGAAAGAAGAAGAGGTACCGGCCTCGAGACTACACGGTGAACTTGGACGGGCAGGTGGCTGAGGCGGGGGTCAAGCCTGTCCGGTTAAAAGAGCGGAAGCTCACCTTTGACCCCATGACCAGACAGATCAAACCTCTGACCCAGAAAGAGCCAGTGCGGGCCGATAGCCCGCTGCACACGGAGCAGCCCAGGACAGAGCTGGACAAGCCTGAGGCCAAGGCCAGCCTCCAGAGCCCTTTTGAACAGACGAACTGGAAGGAGCTGTCGCGCAATGAGATCATCCAGTCCTACCTGAGCCGGCAGAGCAGCCTGCTGTCATCGTCGGGCGCTCAGACCCCGGGGGCCCACCACTTCATGTCCGAGTACCTGAAGCAGGAGGAGAGCACCCGGCGCGGGGCCAGGAAGCCGCACGTGCTGGTGCCTCATGGCCCACCCGCAGCCCTGCCAGGACTGACCCGCGAGGTCACACAGGACGATCTGGACAGAATCCAGGCCCACCAGTGGCCGGGGGTGAACGGGTGTCAGGACACACAGGGTAACTGGTATGACTGGACGCAGTGCATATCGCTCGACCCGCACGGCGATGACGGGCGGTTGAACATTCTGCCTTATGTTTGTTTGGACTGACCGGCCATTGGCCTCTAAGTGCGTTCCCACTTTGCATTGGCGGGCTGTCCTGGCTGCCTCCAGTGGTTGGGAATCCTGGGAGCCGGGCCAGGGCAGGTGGGAGGGGGCGGGAGTCTTAAGGTCTCTCTGCACCCTTCCCTCAAAACTCTCCTTCTTTTGTGAAATGCTGCTACCAGTTTACTAACAAAATTGCAAAGGAAGGACCGTGTGAAAGGCAGGCCGACAAAGTGAGTTCAGAACTCTATAGCAAACCAGCTATAAAAAGCGTTAGTCCCCCAGCCTGGTAGAGGTGCGGACACTTCCAGCACCCAGGAGCTGGGAACTCAGTTGCAGGCAGGCACAGGAAACCGGTGGTAGAGATTACCTTTAACACAGAAACAAGCACGCATCTCATGTGTTGGCATTTTCTGTTTTTCCATTTGGCCCTGAGTGTCTGAGGCAGTGGGCAACACCGTGGCCTCCATTTGCCCCCTACCCAGTGGCATCCCTGTCACAGTGTCAGAAGCTTCTCAGCTGTAGTGAGCTGCTGACAGGGGGTGGGCCACTTGGCCAGCCAGTTTGCCACACACTCCGTGGGCATCCACACATTTATACCCAGTTTCAGTTAAAACTCAGTTTTAAAAGAAATGCTGCAAAAACTTAAGTTTTCTAGAGTTTATTTTATCGTCTTCTTCCATCTGACCACCAGCCAAATCATTTTCCTTTTTCCCTTTTCATTTCCTGCACATTATCTAGAAGATTTTATCTTTCTAGATTTCCCTCCCAAAAACAAGAGTAACTGTGGGTGCTACTGGTGTGTAAGCTGTACTGTTGGGCAAGAGGAGACCTGTCTGTACGCTGGAAACACTCATAACCATTCCTTTAGATTCGTTTGCCTTATGGTTATTTGTCATAAACGCGATTTGCAAAAACAAGGAGCCTTAGTGAATGTACAGTACCTAGACTTCTGTGTTCCCAGGACACAGAAGGGAGCAACTTTGCTATTTGGTCCATTAAGTGGACACCTTGTGATATAAATGTGGAAATAAAAAAAAAAACCATTTGCACAAACCAGTCTGAGAATCATTTCTAATTTGGTCTATAACAGCCAACTCAGCCTTTTCTGGATTCATCTACAAGAACTGGACTCTGTCCAAGGTTAGGGCCCCACGGGCAGGGCATAGCGGCCAAGTCTGTTAGCCTTGTGCGTGGAACTGACCTCCGCCTGCCTTTCATTCACCCAGGGCCATGTCACCTCTCCACCTCTGAAGTCCCCTTTTAGCTGTGGGAGACAGAGACCGAGCGTCCACATCAGGGTCATCCTGTCTCCACCCAAAACAAACTTCACCTGCCAGAGAAGCCCTTCCATGCAGATTTCATGGTCTAGGTCTCAATGACCTTGTTTTGATTCTTTCATAGCCTGGCTCAGAGCCAGGTATGGCAATGTACCCCTTGGCCTTGACCTGAGGCTGCCAGCTCCCCACACAGGTCCAGGGCTATCATGGTATCTGGCTAGTACTTTTTTTTGAAAGATAACTTTTCTCCCTTGACTATGAGGTGACAATCTTTTATTCTTCCACCTCATTCCTGAAACCTTAAGTTAAGGCTTTGGTTTTCCAAGTTTTTTGCTCCAGAAGAGGTCATCTTGGACATACCCATTTAATTTTACAGATGAGGTAGTAGCTACCCCTTAATAGGGGCTGCCACACACACGGCAACCCAAGGAGTCCAGGGGCATTCGGTCAACTCCGAACCAGTTCCAGAACCAGCAGGGATTCCTGTGGCAGCCTTGGTGTGGGACAACCCACCCCACCCCCAAGAAAAGGGCTATTGAGGGAAGGAGCTTTGAACAAGGGCAGAGGTTTAACTCCGGACCTGCCATCTGAAAGCTGGGTGGCTCTGGGCCACCAATCACTTCACTCCTGTGCAGGCGTCCTGTCTTGGGCATGCAAGGTGTGTGAGTGATCCAATTAAGTCCCAGGGTAAAGACTGCCTTTGAGAACACAAGTTTAAGCTGGTACTTGCCTCCAGAATTCTGGGGAACAATGGGTTGTCACTTTCTGATTTGCTAAGAACGCTGTAGAAGGTCATTTTAAACTCCACCCGCCCGCCAAAAAAGTGAGTACATGATTTTTTAAACAAAGTTTTAAGTAGTGTAAGATCATCCTGCTGAAAACGCCACACTGTTTCCTCCGCCGGGGCTCGGGGCTGCTCTATCCCGGCGTGTCCTTGGGCATTAGCGGTCACCTCCCCGTCCTGCAGAGCCCTGGAGACAGGTGCCCAAGAAGGCTGCCGCGGCCACGGCTCCCGAACTGGCCAGGGGCCCTAGGCCAAGTTGCCTCCCTTCCCTGGACTCCGGTCTGTCCGTCCGTGAAGTGGCGATTGTAACACCTACCTCACAGCGCCCGTCTCGGGGTCCCGGCGCTCTGTTCTAAGCCTCCGTCGGAGTCCGGCCACGGGAGCCCCCTTCCGGATTGTATATAGAACTGGACCTGCGGAGAGATTTCCACAATTTGGTTTCTCTTCCCGAAAGGTCTGGCCTTATCCCATCGGCGTCCGCCGCTGCACACCCATCAGGACCCAGCTGCACGGCGCTGATGCGGCGCGGATGTCCAGCTTCGGCCAGCGAGCTCAACGGCCCGCTCAAGGGCGCAGGCGAGGCGGAGCCCCGGCGCTCCTGCCCATTCAGCTCGGGGTCCATCCAGCTCCCGAGCCCCGAGCCGCCCCACAGCTCGGCAGCCCCGCCGGACCCCCGGTCTGCTCCTCTCCTTCCGCTTCCCCAGTGGGTCCCGCCCCCGCCGGAAGCCCACCCGAGGGAGGTGGGGCCTGAGCTTGCTACGTGATGGCGGGAGCGTCGGCCGGCGCGAGGCGGTGACGCGGCCAGCGGAGGCCAATGGGAAGCGGGGTCGGCCGGCGTGCCCGCCCCCGCCCAGGCCCCGGCTCCGCCCCCGCCCGGCGACGGGCCGTCGGACTGGCTGGAAGGGGCGGCTGCTTGGACAGGATGGCGGCGGCGGCGGCGGCGGCGGCCGGGGCAGCGGGCGCGGGGGGCCCGGGGACGACGGGCGGCAGTGGCGGGGCGCGCGAAGGCGCGCGGGTGGCGGCCCTGTGTCTGCTGTGGTACGCGCTCAGCGCGGGCGGCAACGTGGTCAACAAGGTGATCCTGAGCGCCTTCCCGTTCCCCGTGACCGTGTCGCTGTGCCACATCCTGGCGCTGTGCGCGGGGCTCCCGCCGCTGCTGCGCGCCTGGCGCGTGCCCCCCGCGCCTCCCGTCTCGGGCCCGGGGCCCGGCTCGCACCCGTCGCCCGGCCCACTGCTCCCGCCGCGCTTCTACCCGCGCTACGTGCTGCCGCTAGCCTTCGGCAAGTACTTCGCGTCCGTGTCGGCGCACATCAGCATCTGGAAGGTGCCCGTGTCCTACGCGCACACCGGTGGGTGCCGCGGCGCTTGGGTGGGAGTGCGCCCGCAGGGCCGAGAAATCGGCTTCTGTTCGGAAGGCGCTGGGGCCGCCCAGGCTTTTTGCAGGGGAGAGACACGCACAAGGGTCTCAGGAAGAGAGGGCTGAGAAGGGAGCTAGGAGCTGAGCAGGGCAGGTCATAACTGTTGGGTTGTGGGGACGCCCCACAGAAAGAAAAGGGCTGAAGAACTTTGAGGGGCTGCCAAGGCCTCCCAACCCGCCGGTGGAGTTGGGACAGGCCGCCAGGGTGAGTTTTGGGACTAGGACTGCTCCCTGAGCGCCCCTCGTCTCTCTTTGCAGTCAAGGCCACTATGCCCATCTGGGTGGTCCTGCTGTCCCGGGTCATCATGAAGGAGAAGCAGAGCACCAAGGTAACCCAGGAGGACTCTGGGCAGGTGGGGGCCCACGGGCTTCCCAGTTGCTGCCCAGCTGGTGACGTGGTCCAGGTTCCTGGTGTGCATGCTGCCTGGCTTCCTGTCAAATAAGGAAGTACGCTTATAGGACTTTGGTGGCCCATTTGCCGCTATGTTCGGAATTACCCTGGGGGCAGTGGTGAGTGGGATGCGTGCCTGTGAGGTGTCTGCTGTGTGGTCTCGGTGGGTGCCGCTGCCCCTTTCCTGCCTGTTGGCTCCCTGCCCGGGGTTGCTGGTGAGCGAACCCTTGGTCCCACCTTGGCCAAACATCCCGTGCCCCAACAGTGAGACCAGGGATGGAGCGTCTGACTCTGTGCTAAAATGGAACTCCAACAGAGTTTCACTTCTTTGCAAGAGACAACAGTCAGGGTGGGGACTTTTGGTGTCAGAATTGGAGATGTTAGAAATCAGAAAGGAGTCTGATTTTAGCAAAATCCAGCAGTCTTCGAAATAAAAACAGCCAGGAATTGTGAATGTCTGGGAATGGAAATGAAAGCAACACGCAGAACACAGGGCTGCATAAGGAAGATGCTTTGGGCACAATCCAGGGTCTGTTCAAGATGCCAAGCCAGGGTATTTCCTGGCTTGGAGTGAGAGAGGCTGTGGCTTCAGCCAGAGACAGCCTTGCCTGTGTCCTTAAGTGGAATTCGCACTGCCGTTGTCCCAGCTGGAATCCATTTCATGCTGGACAGAGCACCTCTTTCTACGGGGTTGGTTTCTGGCTTCCTGTATTTTATGTAACAAGAGTGGCAGTGCCCTGATCAGCTTATAGAAATCGGGCCATCTCTGGCTGATTTTTTAATTTCAGCCTTTTTCTTCGCAAGACCTGGGCATGCTCCACAACTGCCCCCGGGGGGCTTCAGGTGTGTGTGACTTGTCTCCCCAGCCACAGTTGGCCAGGAAGTGTGCAGCCGCATCACTTGATAACACATCGTGTTTATCAGGTTTCCCCGTTGCCTGGGACATTGTACCGGCTTGGGCATGGAGCCGGAACCATGCACAGTGAGGAAAGACGGGGTATTGGCCTAGGCAAGAGACCCAATGATAAAGACAGAATAAGTGTGGACCCGCCCTGAGGCAGATAGTCAGGTAATCGTCATTCCTGAACTCTGCTGAAGAAATAGGACTTCACGGGAGAGTCAAATGTCTGAGGGCCGCAGCCAGGGGTGGGGTGGGAGGGGCTGGAATTCAGGTCCTTCAGGCCAGAGCCCTCACCGCCCCCACTTGAAGTCACCGTGCTGTAAGACCGTCCTTTGTAGGCGAGGGGTGAGCCAGATGCAGGGATGACTCCTGTGTCTCTTGCATTTGGAAGCGGTTCAGCCGCCTGAGCTCAGGCCGTTCCGCGGACCAGGTGCTGGAAGGCTTTTGCCCCTTCCAGAAGGCCCACCACGGTACTCATTCATCCATTTGGCCGGCTGTGTGCTGGGCACCGGATAGAGCAGTGGACAAAAGGCCTCCCCTGAAGGACCGTAAAGGGCACCTGTAGTGGGTGGGGAGCATTTGTGCCTGAGAACACGCCGCAGAGGAAACTGACGGGACCTGCGGCCAGGTGGGTTGGAATGTCCTCCTGGTGTGTGAAGGGAGCCCTGAGGAGGAAGGGGCGCTCCAGCTAGGAAAGCCTTGGGCCCATGTCCCAGCCAGAAAGATCCCAGCATATGACCAGCCTCTGGGGGAGTCAGCGTTTCAGACCTTGGTTGTATTGGTGGCAGCAGCTGGACAGATGTTAGGACCAACCCCAGTTTGTAACCCAGAGCAGGGGCTTCTAACGGGGGAGATGGTGTAGGGAGTGAGGCTGGGCACAGTCACCGACCCCACTCGCAGGTTCTCCGAGGACCACCTGCCTCCCCCCCGCCCTGCCCCAGAGCCTCGCTGCCCCAGTTCACACTGCTGCCCAAAGGGGCAGGTGGCGTCCCTTCGGCGGGGGAGGAGAGGACGGCGGGGGCTCTGCTCCGGGGCGTCCACGTCAACCCGCCCACCCTCCCTCCCTTGCAGGTGTACTTGTCCCTCATCCCCATCATTGGCGGCGTCCTGCTGGCCACCGTCACTGAGCTGTCGTTCGACGTATGGGGGCTTGTCAGTGCCCTTGCTGCCACGCTGTGCTTCTCGCTGCAGAATATTTTCTCCAAAAAGGTATTTGAGCAGCATCGTGGGTGCATGTGGTGTTTTGAGGTTAATGGGTGACGTGAAAAACTGGCCAAGTAGGGGTTTCTGTGGCATTGAAGCAAAAAAAGTCCTGTTGCCCTTTTGCTAGTTTTCTAGTTGATTTTTTTAAGTTTGTTTTTTGTTATCAAATTAGCATATGCACAATGTGAAAAAATAGAGAAAAGCTCAGTGAAAAATAATCAGAAAACCAGTGATAAACCATGCATACTTTTTATTGGCCTTTAAAGAGGTTTTCTCTCTTCAGGTATTGAGAGACTCACGTATCCACCACCTCCGGCTGCTGAACATCTTGGGCTGCCATGCTGTCTTCTTTATGATACCCACGTGGGTCCTGGTGGACCTTTCGGCTTTCCTGGTCAGCAGTGACCTGGTGAGTGGGCCAGCATTGAGGGCACACCCTTTTCTTGACTGGTTCCAAAGTAGGTGCTTTTTCAGAGAGTTACGCCTCCATGTTGACTGGGGCATTTGGGACCTCAGCCCGCCAGCTCTTTTAACACTCAGCTCTTTGTCCTGACTTGGGGGGGCAGTCGGCTTCCTTTGCATTTCCTTCTGTGTGCTAGATCCCAGGTGCCGATGGCTGCCTTTGTGCCAGTGGAGTCAAGGAAGAAAAAGGCCAGCAAGGGCGACTTTAAAACTTTGCTTGCACTGCTTGAGTCCTTTCTTAGTGTCATCTGTGCCCACATTCCCCTTTATTGCAGATGTATCCATAGCTTGCTTAGGTCGGGAAAGAGCATCTCCCCACCTCCTGCAGGGCCAGCCTCCAGAATGCGCTGGAACTAAGGCCAGTGGCAGTGATAAGAAGGAAGTGGGTGTGGCTCTCGCAGGCCTGTTCTTGACCTTGGCCTTTAACACTCAGCACCACCTGTGGATGTGCTGGAGCTTCTGTCCGGCTTCCAGAGGAGGAACTGTGTGGCTCTGTGTTCCAAAATCCCTTCCCTGTTGACAAGCTGTAACATTTCTGTGAAGAACTTTCCATCATCATCCAGTACTAGTTTGTTACCTTGAAGTACAGTACAGGAAAAGCAGTTTTAAGAGTAAATAGGTAGATTTTTTTCCTAAATTTTAAAAAATGTTTACTTGAAACATTAACCAGTGAGTTGAGGTTTTTTTTCATTTTGCTTGGTCTTGTGACGGAGTGACAGAGAGTTCTATTGCTTTTTTTTTTCCATCTCATTGTGAACTCATGTGTTTGTCTGTTGCACCTATTTTTCCCATAATCAAATTATCCTCGCTTGGCCAGTGGAGCACTTACTGTCGACCCTGGGCCCTTCTGACAGCACACATCAACTTCTGAGAGCTTTTTGTCCTTCCTTGTCATATTCATCTTCTGTCCCAGACCTATAATCAGCCACTCCTTCAGGAACCAGGTTGCTTTTAGTGGAGAATGGTGCTTAAAGACACAACGTGAGTGCCATGTGTGCTCACTGCTGTTGGGTTGTCATTGCTTATAAAAAACTAGGAGAAATGTATTCGGGAGAGGAGGGGAGAGATTCATACTTATTTGTTCCAATTCCAACTTGACACGGGATTCATTACTGTTTTATTTATATCTTCTGTATCTTTTCTGGTCTGTTTCCTCACAACATTCCTTCTTGGTTCACCCCACCCTGATCATTTATACACGTGATTCTACTGCACACACACAAAATCACTGCAGAGCTAGAGTCCCCACAGGACCACTGCAGGTGGAGTCCTGAAGGAAGTGTGAGATGTCTGTGGTTCTATTTGTCCTCAGAACGTGTTTCATTAAAGATGTGCAGTTGGAACACAGTGTCCTGAGGGCACTTGGAATGATCATTCTCAGTGGGCCCCCATCCTCAGCTCGTGCTTCTGGGTTCCTTCTGTCTGTCCTCTGTTTTCAGGTATTGCTTTCTTTTCCCTCCTAACTGAGTATGTTGGATCTTCACGCAGTTGACCCTTGAACAATGCAGGGGTTAAGTGCACTGACCCCCCCCACACACACAGTTATCTGCATATGACTTTTGACTCCCCATAAACTTAATCACTAATGGCCTAATGTTGACCAGAAGCCTTATAGATAACAAACAGTTCAGTAACACAGATTTTCTGTGTGATATGTAGTATATACACTGTATTCTTGCAGTAAATCTAGGGAAAAGAAAATGTTCTTCCAAATTGTTGCAGATTGCCAAAAAATTTTCCAGTATAGTTATTGAAAAAAATCTGTAAGGGGACAGGTGCAGTTCGAACCCATTATTTCCAAGCCCAACGATATGCTACAGTTTATTCAAAGAAGCCTGGCCTTAGTCCCTGCTGCCTTCGCCCTTTTCCCACTGGCGGCCACTTTTATGCTCTTAGTTTTCCTTCTAGTGTTTCACTTCTGCAAATAGAAGCAAATCTGTACAAATGCCTTCCTTCCTCCTTACACAAAAGTGCCTTTTTAGGTCCTTAGAAAAAGCACCTTGCTCTTTCACTCTGTAACGGCCTGGAGATCACTCCATATTGATCTGTTTAGGTCCTTCTTATGTGTTATTAGCCAGTTGGCATTCTTACACTGTCCTATGTTACAACTCCGGTGTCTGCATGGATACACCCTCACAAACATGTATATATAGCCTTTGCTGTGGTCTCTTGTATTCAGGACACTTTTTGGTTTTATTGTAGTGATTACTTAAAAATAACACCTTTAGTAACCTCTTTTCTTTGTTGAGGGCATACACATTTTTTATCTTGATGGGGCCCTTGTATGTTCTGACTGCAGTGCTGGGAGCACCCAGTATTTGACAATGCTATAACAGAAGGCAGGGTTTCCACCTCTCTGGGCTCCTCCTCCCTGCCCTGTGTCCCCCACACAGATGCCAGGTGACTTAGCTCTGTCCCAGTGCTGTGCTCCCTAGTATAAAGGAAGAGGCTCAGATACAACAATGTCAGCTGGGTTCTGCTGCTCCAGCCTATGAAGAATCAAAGGCTACAATGGGCAGTTTCCAAACTTCCCCAGCCATACTGCTGACAACTCAGCTGGAGCTGGGCAGGAATGGCCAGCCTGGGGAGCAGGAGGCCCTGTTTTAAAGCTTTACCAGGATGTGGGAAGTAGCTATTTAAGAACTGCAAAGTGAATGGGAGAGGACAGGCTGGGGTTGAAGACCAGACTTCAGAGAACCTCTGAGCCCACAGTGAGTTCGCCTTTCTTCCGCCTCTATTATCTCTAGCCTGGACTCAAGGTATCCTGAAACGCAGAAGTGAACACTGAGTGAGAACAGAGTGAGAAGCCTTCTAATTCTGGCTCAGGGAGTGAGAAAGGGGAATTCCTGATGCTTCAAGAGAGTGGGGAAGATCCTTTGGGGCCTCTTGTGTCATCTCTGTCTCCTTGCATCTGGCAGTCCCATGGTGGTGGCAGCAGAGGGTCCCATAGGCACTCGAGATGCTGAGGTTGGGCAGTCTCCCTCTGCAGCCACAGGATGAGATTAGCCCCTGTTGCATTTTGTTTTCTCTCCTTGTCCTTCCACTGCTTGGCCATTCCACAGAATGGAGATGCAGTTGTGGGAAGGACACAGCCATGTGGGGTAAGCAAGCCCCAGCTTTCTGAGTGGAGGACTGAAAAGGGAAACCCTAGAGAAGCAGAAAGCACCAAGGAGATCGTAGAGAGGGAGCAACGCAGAACAGTGACCTTGCCCCTGCGTTGTGCATGTGACAGTCTGATCGTGAACAGTGAGCCAAAGACTGAAAACTGAACTACAAGACAGCCTGTGGCCCAGGTCTGAGGCCGTCCACTTGGCAGTGCTCCCTCAGGGTGGGGCTGCATACCAGTGACAAGGCTTTGGGGTCAGAACTGGCATTGGAACTGCAACCCATAGAAGGTGGGTCAAGCTCATAGCCTGAACGGGACTGAGTCTCTGCTAGAACAAAATATCAATATTCCCTACAGGAGTCAGATAAGACCTGCAGGCTTAGAATATTCTAAGTGCCCGGGACACAATGAAAAATTACTTGCCACACATAGAAACCAGGAAATTTCCAAGTCTTCTGGAAAAAGGCAACAGATGCCAATACTGAGATGACACAGATACTCGAATTATCAGAAAAAGACTTTAAAGCAACGATTATATTCATGCCCCAAGAAGTAAGGATGAATACTCTTGAAACAATGGGAAGCATGGAAGATAGAAGAACCAAATGGAAATTTTAGCAATTTAGAAACAGTAACTTAAAAACTCAACTGAATAGACATAAATGCACAATGAGTCAATAACATGAAGGTAGATCATTAGAAACTACCCAGTTTGAACCAAGAGGGAAAAAAGATTAAAAGACAAATAAAATTCTTGGAATCAGCCAGAGAAAAATGATGCATTACTTACAGATAAACAGCAATTTGAATGACTGAGGATTTCTCATCAGAAACCATGAAAACCAGAAGAAGTTAGAATAACATTTTTAAGGTACTGTAACTGAAGAACTGTCAACACATGATTCTATATCCAGGAAATACAGAATCTCCAGAATCAATAGAAATACAGAACATCAACAGGAATAAAGAACTGAACAATACCATCAACCAACTGGATATCTCACTGATATTTATAGAACATTCTATGTAACGCGCTGAATACACATTCTTTTCCAGTATACATAGAACATTCAACAAGATAGACTGTCCTCTGTGTCATAAAATGGACCTTAACAAAAGAATTGAAAATAAACAAAGCATATTCTCTGACCATAATGGAATTAGAAGCCAGTAACAGAAAGGAAACAAGAAAATCTACAAACACTTGGAAATTAAGCAACATGTTTCTAAATAATCCACGGGCCAAAGAGGAAGTCTCAAAAGAAATAGAAAATATTTTCAGCTGAAGCAAAAAAGAAAGCATTACAAATACCAGGAGTGAAAGGGAATATCACTATAGATCTCACGGACATTTAATGGATAAGAATGCTACCAACAACTCTGCACATTAATTTAACAACATAGATGAAATAGACCAACTCTTCATAAACTACAAACTACCAAAATTCACCCACCCAAGGTGAAACAACCTAAATAGTCCTATAGCTATTAAAGAAATTGAATTCATAATTTAGAACCTTCAAAAAGAAATAGGACCCAGATGGTTTCACTGACAAATTCTATGAAACATCTAAGGAAAAATACCAATTCTACACAGTCTTCTCCAGAAAAGAGAAGATAAGGGTTTTGCAACCATTTAAGAAAACCAAAATTCCTAAGGAACATTAGGCAGAAGTTCTTAACAAAGTATTAGCATAATATACCATGACAAAAGCGGAATGTAAATCAAGACTACAAGGCTAATTCAAAATCTGAAAATTGATGTAATCTACTGTTAATAGTTTAACAAAAAATAAATCACCTGTTCATATCAACTGATACAGAAAAGGCATTTAACAAAATCTGACATGGTTCATGGTTTTAAAAAGCCAACAAACTAGAAATAAAAAAACTACTCAACTTGATCAAGGGCATTTATAGGTAACATAATAATGATGAAAGATGGAAGGTTTTTTCCCCTTGAATTCAGGAAGAAAGGTAAGCATGTTCACTCTCATTATACCTGCTCCACATCATACTTGACAACCTAGCCAGTGCAATAAGACAATAAAAAGAAATACAAATTTGAAAGGAAGAAATAGAATTTTCTCGACCCAACAAAATCTTACTCTTCAGTATTAATTTAATTATAAGTAATTGCTTAGCTTAAATTTTAACTTTGATTTTTCTCCTTGGGGAAGGCAATAATGAAAAAAAGTTAAGATATACTAATCCACATATCTGTGTGTTTGTATGGAGATAGATATGTACATGTATATATTAAGTAATTTTTCTTAATATGAAACCTGATTGTAAATTTTCCTAATTGGAATAGCTAAAATAAGTTTGAAAAAGTTGGAGGAAACACTACTTAATTCTAAGACTTAGTGTAAAGGGACAGATATTGGTGAGGGAGAGACACATAAATCAGTGGGACAGAACAGACTTTGAAACTAGACTCACAAATATGGATAACTGATTTTTGACCAAGGCTGAAAGGCACTCCAGCTGAGAAAGTGTAATCTCTTAACAAACAGTGTTGGAACAATCGGACATCCATATGCAAAAAACTGAGTCTTAACTTAGAGCTCACATGTTATACAAAATTAACTCATAATATATTATAGACCTGAATTTCAGGGTTAAAACAACAATCTTTAGAAGAAAACAGGAGAAAAATCTTCATGACTTGAGGTTAGTTTGTAGTACGCCAAAAGCAAAGTCCATAAAGAAAATGAAAAGGTAAATGGGGCTTCATCAAAATTAACTTTTGCTCTGTTAAGACACTATTAAGCAAAAGAAAAGACAAGCTACAGGTTGGGAGAAAATATTTGCAAATGACAACTTGCCTAAAACTGGACAAAGGACTTGAATGGGCACTTCACCAGCGAGATTGTATAGATAGCATATAAATAGACATGTAAAATAAATAGACATGTAAAATAAATAGACATGTAAATAGTCATGAGGAAGAAGCAAAATAAAACTACAACAAGATACCATTTCATACTTTACTTAGGACAGCCAGGATAAAAAATATTGATAATGGCATGTTTGTCAAGAATGGGGCACAACTGGCACTCACATGTCGGAGCAAATGCAGGACGGGACGGCCACTCTGAAAGACGTGGGAGTCTCTTGTGAAGTCAAACATGCACTGACCGAATGACCCAGCAGTCTCCCTATTTATTAGGGTATTTATTTTAGAGAAGTGAAACTCAGCTTTACACAAAAGCCTGGACACAAATGTTTATAGTGATTCTATTTGTGACCACTCAACACTGGAAACTTGAAACCCGAATGTCATTAAACAGATGGATGGGCAAAGAAACTTTGGTATGTTCACATAATGGAATATTTTCTGGCAGGAAAAAAAGGTACCAACTCTTGTCCTTTACAACAACTTGGATGCCTGTGAGGCATCCTGCTAAGTGAAAGAATCCTGTGTGAGATCATTGCAAGCTGTACCCTTCCACTCCAGTTAGGACGGTCTCCAAGACACACCCATCGTGAAGAACTCACCGTTGGTTGCCTGGCTTGGGGAAGGGGCTCACACAAAGAAGCCTGGGAGAGTGCTTTGGGTCAATGGAGCCATTCTAAGGGCGGGTTGTCATGTTGGCTGTATGTGTGTGTGAGAACACAGAACTGTGCACCATGAGGAAGAAACACTCAGTTTTATTGTCAGTTTTTTTTAAAGCCGGATTGGCCCGGTTCCTTCCCTGGGAGATGGCTATCTGTGCCAGCTGGCTGCCTTGTAAAAATATCTCGGAAGTCTCTAGCGATCACTTCAGGGAAGGACTCCGGGGAGAACAGGCCAGCCTACCATGAAGGTATGCTGGTGGGCTCGCAGGCCTAATGAGCTGTCATCCCTGCGAGGGGCAAAAATCTGGATGACCCTGTGCAGGTCACCTAAGTGTATCTTGCTCACCTTGAAGAGCAACGTGGTCTCCCTCCTGCCGTCAGAGGGTGGTGGAGTTGGAATCCGGCAGCTCTCCTGATTGCTGTAGCTCCCACCCTGGAAGGGCCACTAAATGCCACTGCCTCGGGGGAGCCAACTGTGGTCTTGCTCCTCAGTCTGAGCCACACTGGGTCAGGACTGCTGTACTCTCGGGGCACAGGGACCTGGGGCTTGTCCCAGCACCAGACTAGGCCACAGACCCTGCAGAGACAGACACCTGGAGCCCTCATGGCTGGCGTGCTGCCTGTAGAGGTCATCCCTTTCGCTGGCCTGGGGGGCCGGTACTGAGGCAGGACAAGGCGGGTGTGCAGGCATGGGGGCCGTGCACGCGCCTTCTGTCGCCCAGGCCTGACTAGAGGTCCGTGAGCACTTGGCATGGGCGTCCCCCCAGTTCTCGCCCGCCTGCCTGTCCTGGGTCAGCCGGGCTCTTGGGATTCTGTGGTCCAGATGTTGGCTAGTTGTGGCTTCCTGACCTCTGGGGGGCCCTTGATCGGAGTGCCTTGTTCCAGTGAGGGTCAGAGGGTAACTCATGTTTTGACGGTAGCATCACCTCCACACATTGTTTGGCTTGGGATTATTCTAAAGTACTTTCTAGGCCGCAGTGCCTTTGGGTACTCGCAGCAGCAGCCTGTGCTGGCTCAGCAGGGATCAGTGTCCCCGTTGCTTGCCTGGGGGCTTCCAGCCCAGGGTTCTTGGTACACTCGGGCAGCCTTCACAGGACTTCCCCGCTCCATGCGGTGCGCCATGTCTGCTGTGGCTTAGATGCGTTTGTCCCCTGCAAAGGCAACCCCCATGGTGACAGAATCAGGAGGTGGGACTGGTGCCCTCATCAGTGGATTGGTGCCCTTATAAAGTGAGACCCCAGATGGCTCCCCTGCCCCTTGTGGTGTGTGAGGACCCAGTGGGAAGACACTGTCTACCTGCCAGGAGGCCCATGCCAGATGTGGCGTCTCCTCCGTCGTGGACTCCCAGCCCCCAAAGCCGTGGGGAACAATGTCTGTTGTTTGTAAGCCCCCAGCCTGTGGTGTCCTGTGGCAGCGGCCTCGTCGGGCTGGGACAGGGTCCGGTGAGCAGACCTTGTTCTGCTAAACCTAGAGCCCCTGGCCCTCACTGTCCAGGGTCTGGGGGAGGCCTTAGTTTGCACTGGACTCTGGGCCCTTTGGGCACCCGACTTCCCCTCTCCGAGCCTCTGCTTCCTCTGCAGGAAATGGGGGTAATTACTGTTGTTATTGCCATGCAGTGTGTTGTGAACGTCAGAGGTGGTGCACATAAAATACTTCGTAGCGCACAGCTACCCACTGGGTCTTCTCCCTAGTGACCATGTGACCCCAATAAGCCAGTCTGCACCACCCCCCACCTGCCAGGGCAGGCATGTGACTGAGTGCTGTTCTTGCCCCCATCCTACAGACCTATGTGTCTCAGTGGCCCTGGACGCTCCTGCTCCTGGCTGTCAGCGGCTTCTGTAACTTTGCCCAGAACGTCATTGCCTTCAGCATCCTCAACCTCATCAGCCCTCTGAGCTACTCGGTCGCGAATGCCACCAAGAGGATCATGGTCATCACGGTGTCCCTGATCCTGCTGCAGAACCCAGTCACCAGCACCAACGTCCTGGGCATGATGACGGCCATCCTGGGGGTCTTCTTGTACAACAAGGTGAGTCTGGGGGGCGGGGGGGCTGTCCCCTCGACACCCAGGGAGGCACCAAGCGTTGGTGGAGGAAGAGGAGGGGCCTCAGGGGCAAGGAGGCGGGGTTCCAGCCCCCAGCTCTGCCCGTCACTGGCTTTGGGTCTGGGCCCGGCTCAAGGGTCTGCTGAAGCTCTGTAGGGGGTTTCACCCCCACCCAACAAAGGCTGTTTACTCTGGTGTAAAGAGTAAGGCCAACTGATTGTTGGCCACGCCCAAGTCCTGCTGGGTCAACACGAGTTGGCCTTGAAGGAGCCACTGGCCGTGAACCACAAGCTCCCATCGTCCTGTGCATGTACCTGGGGAAGGAGCGAGCTGTCTCACTGTTCTCTCAACCTTGCAGACCAAGTATGATGCCAACCAGCAAGCCCGGAAGCACCTCCTCCCCATCACAGCCGGGGACCTGCGGGGCAAGGATCCCCATCGGAGCCCCCTGGAGAAACCCCACAACGGCCTGCTCTCCTCCCCGCATGGGGACTATCAGTATGGCCGCAACAACATCTTAACAGACCACTTCCAGTACAGCCGGCAGAGCTATCCAAACTCATACAGTTTGAACCGTTATGATGTGTAGAGTCCAGAGGGCTCGGCAGGACCTCAGTGTGACACCCTCCCCCACCCCCCAGCAGTACCAGAAACTTGACAACCAGTGAATGTACAACCCAACCAAGGGCCAGTGCATAACCGCCTGAGGACCCTGGGGTTCCCAGGCCCTGCAGCGAGGACTGCCGCCCTTGAGCTCCGGTGGGCCGTGCCTGTTCTTCCTGGGGTCTGTCATCTGGGGCTGTGTCACTGTGGAGATCTTGGCCAGGTTTTACCTTTTTGTGTGGACTTCTCCGAGTCATGTATTCTGAGTTCTTGTTCTGCTTTCCAGATGACATTGCCAGACAACTCTGGAAAGGAGGGATCGCTGTGGACACAGGCCTCAGCGTAGGCAAGAGGGGGTTTCCTGGGGGCCTAGAGGGGACTGTGCAGGCTGGTGCGCATGAGTGACAGACGAGCTGCCTGACTTGTGCTCAGGCAGGCACAGGCCTGATGCAGGTGTGGAGCAGAGGAGATGGGCCGGAGTTCTTCAAAACACCTCCAGCAACAAAGACGGACCCAGTGCCCCATCAGCCTCATGGCCATTTGCACTTAACTGGCAAACGTTCCAAAGTGAAAAGCTATCACCATTAGCATTGAGCTGCTGGGACCTAATTCTTTGACCTGCATGGCAGAGGTGGCGTGTGCCCAGATTCAGAGGGAAGGACAGCTGCCCTCCCCTCTGCCCCTTCCTTCCCTTGCCAGAGCAGGGCATTTCTCCTCTGCGGGTGGCAGGGAGGTGGTACCTGCAGGCCTGGGAGGAGGAGCATGAGGAGGTCATGTGGGCGTCTCCAGCTCTCCTGGGATACTCGTTCTCTGGTGCATCGTCACCACTTCTGTGATGACCCAGTGGGACATCTGGAGTGGGGCAGGGACTGGATGAGGATCTTGCATTTTTCTACAGAACATTTTGTAGTCGTGTGTGTGCTGTTATGCCTTGGTCCCCAGTAGGGGACACGTGAGGACTGCCTGGTGGATCAAAAACCCTTTTGTTTTCAAACGGTTAAAAACAAGAAAAGCTCCTACTGGCGATGCCTGTCGTATCGACTTTAGCACTTGGTAGGAAGCAGTGAAGTGTTTTGAAGCATCTCTGTAAGGAACTGCAGCCACTGGAAGTGGATGAGTCCAGAACATCACAGTAGTGTGTGGAACAGACAAGACCACAGCACTTCGATGCCATGATCTGATCTTGTGTTTGTCAGGCTCTGAATCATGTCCTGATGGGAGGTGAGGAGGGGCGACTGCCAAGCTCCGATTTGGTGCACCGAGTCAGGTGCTCTGGTCAAGATTAAGTTTGCATTTGGGCACAATTGCGTTTTCTTGAAGATTAAGTGATCCCAGCAGGTAGCCTGAGTGCCAAGGTCCAGGTTGGGGTCTGTGTCGTCTTTCCTGGCATCACAAGAGGTCACTTGATGACCACTGAGGGGACTGCTGGCTTGGCTAGTGTCACTGCCTCTGTCATTGGCTTCGTCTCTACTTACTTTGGCCCAATGTTTTGAGACAATTGCTGTGTGAAATGGGAGGCGGCAATCCTGAAGGGCGTGATTGGTGAAAAGAATTTGCTGAGTGCCTTCACCAGAGACAGTAAGAGTCTGCAGCTCCATTTTTCACTGGTGAATACAACAATTGGGGATACTTTTTCACTACAAAGATTATTACAGTAGTCGTCCTTATGATTATAGTATCTGATTTCTTGAACATATAATTGAACTCCAAAATGAATTATGCCTCTCTTGGGTTTAATGAAATTCGTTGCTGAAATTTGTATATTGTTTTCCTTTCCTAGCACAATATCTGCAGGTGGAGGGAAATGACCGACTGGTTTTTTTATGGTTATAAATTAATACATGGGATATTTAATTCTGTACATAAATTTACAGTATGTACATACACTGGAATGAATGAGACAATCATATCAGACCAAAATCACCAAATCAAAAAACAATGACATACTTGTGAGGCTTAAAGTTTCGGAGCCGACATGGACCTCTTTGAAGGCCAGTTTTCCAGCCACTTAATGGCCTGTCCCCCTCTACCCCTCCTCACTGCTGGGACTTACGGCAGCAAAGTTAGCTCCCATCCACCATGTGGTCTGGCCTGCAACACTAACTCCAACCCAACGCCTTCATTTTACAGAAGGGGAAACTGAGGCTCAGAGGGCATTCTGAACAGTGTATGTTCACTGTTTTGAGACTCGGTGTAGAGTTTTTAAGCACCTTATTTTAAGTCATTCATTGTAGGGAACATAAATGCCTGTTACAAAGGAGAGAAGCCAAATATGTTCAAGTAAAGAAGCTCTTGAGGTTTATGGATTTTATTGTGTATTTGGCATACATCACATAACAGGCCCTTTTATTATTGCCAGGCCATAACCAGACCCAGATATTTTAAGGGAGACAGCTTTAAAAGCATAGTACACTAGATTTTATTAAAAGATCTGAAATTGTGAATTCTTTTTTCCAATGGTCACCTGTTTTCAAGACTTAAATGCTATAGACTGTTCTGTGGGAATGATTTGTGTGTATACTCATTGATGGCATTTACCAAAAATAAACGATGGTCTCCAGGGAATCAAGGTGGGTCCCAATTTGTCACTGAGGGTCTTGGTGACCCTGTCTTCAATGTGCCTGGCAACAAAACATCAAAGAGGTAGAAAAGAGCAAATGCAGTTGGCTCCCATGTTGAGGTGTATCACAACTTTTCTGAATGAAAAGTCAGGATGTGTGATTTATGAGTCATGAGATAGCACAATAAAATTAGACTCAAAGCTTAACAGTTAATGACACACCTTTATTGAATAGAATAACATGGAAAACCCAAGAATGTGTGGCAGCTGGGCTTACGAAGCACACTCCTGAGGAATAACGGCTAGTACTGACAGCCCACAGCATGCCCGACAGCGGTGGGTTTTTGACACACAATCCCCTTTTTCATTGTTTTATTAATCTTATTTTACAGATGATGAAGTCCCAAAAACAAGTCACATGACTGTTGTCTGGGATCACACAGCTACCTACATCTGCCTCCAAAGCCCACTACCCACTCCATAGTTCTCAGGAACCATTCCCGAGAGAAGCATTTCCTGCAGTCCCTGGTGAAAGAGTCCCAGCAGGACCTTGAGAGGCTCTGCCCGGACAGGGCTGCCACCTCAAGCAGGGAATTGCTCTGCAGGGCCAGCTGTAGGAACAGCCCCGCTGTTCAGACAAGTCCACTCTCATACGAGGATGTCCTCTCCGAGACTGGAATACTCCTGCGTCTCCCAAGGGCAACTGCTTTGTGGCCAGAGGTCTGCCTGCTGAGGTATCATCAGGCCCAAGAAATGCTCTGTGCCCCTGGGCAGGACCGGACCTTGTTTCCACATCATTCCTCCTGTGGGCTCAGTTAGTTGACCACATGGGGTTGTTACTGCAGGTGATGAGGTGACTGTCACACCAAGTTTTGGCTTTACTGAGACGATAGGTCTCACTAGATTTACTCAATCACCCACTGCTTTTTAAATAACTTTTATTGTCTATATGGTTTTCTAAGTTTAAAAAACATTGTCAAAGCTAAAAAATTACCTATATGCAGATGTTAAGAAGAGTGAGATACAGTAGATCTATGTATAGAAGGAATAGTTTCCAAAATACATCACTGAGACATACAAATATGCTTATGGATACATAGTTTTATCTCTGAAAAGATACATCAGAAAACTGGGCAGAAACTGGCATACTGTGCCTATTTAGTAATCTGCATTTCCAGAAATATTTCCCCATGTTATTAAATATTCTTTGGTTTTGTGTGTGTACATGGTATCACAGTATCCCATTATTATAATGTGCTCTAATTAAGCAGCCCCTATTGCAACAAATTTAATTACCATTTATGGGATAGGTTTACAGTGCACAATGTAGCGCACACATCTGTCTGGGTTAAATTTCTCATGGTCCGTTTGCAGGATCAAAGCTGGTATGGAGACGGTTTTAAACTTCTTTCCAGTTTGCTTCTCAGGTGGGTCCCTTCAGGAAGTTCGTCGCACAGGAGTATGGACTTTAACTTCTTCACTTCAGAGTCTTGTCCCCAAGTTCTTGGAGACCATCTGTGCAGCAGCCTCTATTTCTAGTAACTCTCTCTACTGCCTTCTGGTTTGGCCCACTGAAATGAGCCTGGGTGAGGCCCTGTGATGCTTAAATTTTCAGTCTCTGCTAAATGGCACTGTAAATATGAAATGGATGTATCAAAGTAGTGGCCACAGGTGTACCATCTTTCTGAGGGGCAACTTACCAAGATCGGTGTTAAATGTGCAAACCCTTCCACTCAGGGTTATACACATACACTACGACACTTTCAAAAATGGTCTGAAAGTGGACCAACCCAAGACTCCAGTCTGGCTTCGATAAATTACAGCACATCCACACCACACTGTCCTATGCAGTCACTAAAGATGACCGTACAGATTCATTAACCTGTTTCGGTTCACGGATCCTCTTAAGAATCTGATAAATGCTGAGCATCTTCAACTCACAAGAATACCCATACGTACGACACTGCTTATCTCTCAAGTTCAGCCAGGATGGATCACACGTCAAAACTTCCTGTACAGATCTTTACTGGCATGGAAAAAATGCCCACACCATCCAGATTACTGAGCATTATATTAAACAGAGCAGACCCACGACGTTCCGGCTGCCTAGAGTGTTCGCATCGCTAGCTCCTGAATGGGATCTCAGTGAAACCTCACCTCCCAGTCTCACCTGATAACTCTTATCACTGTAGCCGGACCCTCCACCCCATCTAACAAGATCTTGGTGCTCTGCCGTTTCCTTAATGCTTTTGTAAGGATGTATTTCTTTACTGACTTACAGGTCTGCCCCTTACAGACTGTGGGCTCCCGAGAACAGAGCTCAGGTCTGACTTGTTCACCGTTGCATCTACGAGCCACAACCTGCCTGTCTTTTTGTCAACCAAGAAATGGTCTTCACTGGGGAACGTTTCCGATTAATTGAGGACAGGAAAGACTAACTTAAAAGCATTCCTTTTTCTCATTTGTACACCTGTATTTTAAAAACGGTACTCAAAGACATTTTGAGCCCCATCAACAAAAAGACGTATGGATATCTTTCTGGTTATACACCTTGACTTTGCTCCTCGGCCCTCAGAGCTTAAGATATTTGCTACATGGCCATTCACGAAAGTTTTACAGCAATAAAAAAGTATATCTAAAATACACGGACATCTAACTGCATAGGAAAACTAGAGAGGTATCGCCCAACAGGCGTCGGTGATGGCAGTCAAGTGGGTCAGATTCCGAGGGGGGCGCCCCATCCACCTTTCTCTGCCTTTCATCTGCCTTTCTCTTGTTGCTTATTGTTCCCCACAACTAGCAAGGATTAGCTTCTCGTTTTACAAGCGCTGCAATAGCATCTGCTTCGGGAAGGTGCCGTGCCCTGGGGCGCCCGCGGGTTGAGCCTCTGCACAGAAGCCACGCGAGCCGCACGGGGCACGGTCTGGGGCGGCGGGGGTACAGGTCCCCCGCCCCAAAGTCCTCCTTACCAAAGCACTGGGTCGAGAGAAAGGATCTTTGGAACCTCAATTAGCCAGGTTCCATCCCCGCCGAGCCCGTGGCTTCCGGTACTGCTTCCCCCACCGAGCCAGCCCAGGAGACTGCTGGACGCACCTCACCGCTGCCCCTGAGCCGGGCAAGAGGTCAGGCGTCTGGACCCGCGGAGACGGCGGCCGGCCAAGCCCTCAGGCTGCGACACGAATCCCGAAAGGACACCCCAGCCGCGGCGAACCACAGCCCACCCGGGTCCAGACCGGAGCCCACTCCGCGCATGCTCGGGAAAGCCCCTGCGCGTGCTCGCTGCGGGCCCCTCCCGCGCGCCCGGCATCGCGCGGCTTCTTCCCGCCCGCCTCCTGCCCTCACTTCCGGGGTTTCCTAGCGACGGCCGTAAGTGGCGGGCGGAAGCTGGCCGCGAGGCCGGCCGTAAACGGCACCGTCGCGCCACTTCCGGCCGGCTTCCGCAGACGGCGCTTGTGGGCGATCGTGAGGCGCCGGAGGACGTTAGCGGTGGCCGGAGCCATGGAGATGCCGCTGCCCCCCGACGGTAAGGCTCAGCTCGACCTCGGGGGCTGTTTCTCTCTCCCCGGAGCCCTCTCCTGGCCCTCCCCGCCTCCCGGGGGCCCCGGGCCTGGGAGGGGGCGGGGCTCGGCCTCCCGGGCTCGGCGGCGGCCTCTCCCGCGGGCCCGCACTTCCCCGGCGCGCGTGTGGCCCCTGTCGGGACCCGTACAAGGGCGGGCTCTCCGGGGCTCACCCTTCGGGACCCTGGCCTGCCCGACGGGCGCTGGAACTCCGGGGCCCCCGGGTTTGGGCGGTCCTCGCTGACGGGGGCCTCGGGTGGCTTTTTCTCCGTTCACCAGACCAGGAGCTTCGAAATGTCATCGATAAGCTGGCCCAGTTCGTGGCTCGCAACGGGCCCGAGTTTGAGAAGATGACGATGGAGAAGCAGAAGGATAACCCGAAATTCTCGTTTCTGTTCGGAGGCGAGTTCTACAGTTACTACAAGTGCAAGCTGGCGCTGGAGCAGCAGCAGCGTGAGTGCGCTCCGGGCTCCCAGGCCACCCCCTCAGGCGATTCCTTTTCCCGATTCCCGTTCGGGCGCTGCCACGAACCGCCGCCTTTTGGGTCGCGTGCTCTTTCTCTCTGAATGTGGGGCAGCCCGACCTTAATGATACCCTCCGCCGTACCCGGGGCCCTGCCCCGAGCGGTCGCTGAGGCCAAGTGTAATGAAGAACGAGATTATCTAGCCTCCTTGGGGGCTCGTGATGACCTAGGTCAGAGAAATAGAGTGACTCCCGCAGTACTTCCTAGGCAGGAAGGCGTAGGGGTCGGACTGGGACCCTGGCGGCAGGCACTGCCTGACCTCCTTTGCAGACTCTGGGTTCAGCAAGGTTTTTGTGCATTTCACGTGCTCGCAGTCCAGGTCAAAAAGAATCATTCTGTGGGTTTTAGTTCTCGTGAGGTGTTTATCAGTGTTTTTTCAATTGGGCATTAGGATTCCGGCTCTATTCTCAGAGAGTTTAAGATTGGGTAAGGAATCACAGCTGGCCTTTAAATAATATATAGATGAATAGTCGCCAGTTGGTAAGCTCACTGGTTTAGTCTCGAATACCCAGCTTCTAGATGGTGGTGTTTGAATGACTGAGCAGGGGTTTGCCAAGTAGATGGGCACTGAAAGGTGAGTCCTTAACAGAGTGTTTGAGGAGCTGTGAGAAACCATGAGAGGCCCAGCGTGGCTGCAGCCCAGAGGTGTGTGGGTGGGGAAAGGGTTTGATCTGGAGTAGTACACAGCAGGGGGAAGTTTGAGTGTTCTCTCTCAGTCCAGAGGGTCTTCTGGGTGCCTGTTAAAGGTTTGAGATGGGGGCGGGCAGATCTGCTGCCTGAAATCACAGGCAAAATGTTGCCTGTGGTTATGTGTTGCCAGAGCAGCCATTCTCTCTGGCAGATCAACTTTAACCCCACTACTGGCAGTGGGCAACTACTTGAGAGTTCAAAATGAGAGGGAGGGGTTGGTTTTGTGTGGCCTATGAGGAGGGCAGGCTAGAGGGAGTGAGGCTCAGTGGGACCAGTGAGGCTGACATGAGTGAACAGGACAATTGGTGGTAACGGTCCGAATTACGTGAGTCACAAGGAATGGGCTTGGAGATGGATGGGATTTAGGAGCCAGTTGAATATTGACAGGAGTGATTTGGCCCCTGTGAGCAGGGGGCAAGAACTCCTTCCCCTGCAGGGTCAGAAATCTGGGGCTGCTGGGGCCTTGGTGCCATGACATGGGAGGGATGGTGTGCTTTTAGCAGGGGCAGACTGGGGCTCAGGAAACCGGATTCTGCAGAATGTGTCAAAGTTGGCCAGATGGAAAGTCAGGAGAGAAAAGTGTTCGTGCAGGGGAAGGCGCCTGAGGGGGTTCGGGAGTGGAAGGCACAACACTCAGGACTGCTGAAGCCCAGACAAGGGGGCACTCCTGGAGTGGCCAGAAGGGAGGTTGCAGAGTAGGGAGGGCTGGTTTGCCGAGGACTCCGGCTCTGGAAGCTTTGGGGGAACTCTTGAAGGGTTTCAGGACTGTCCTGGAGCAGCCCGTTCCCCACCTGGAAAGTTGGAGGAAATGGAGCCCCACGCTATTCTACAATCGCATTTCACAAACTCTGCCAAAGGACTAGATTTTGAGTTTCGTTTTAAAATTTGTGATGCATCGTGGAAAGCACGCATTTGCAAAGTACAATCAAAATGTGAACCAAGAAATGTCACACTGAAGTGCCACAATGCCCCATGCTATTTGACTACTTGTCTTAGTTTCCCCTGGGGCCGGCCTTCGGACCACACTCTGAGCCACAGCTGCAGTGAAGGGGACGGACTGCACATGGGGAGGCTACAGCGTGTACTTGGGGGTCTTGTGTGTTCCTGCTGGGGGCTGCAGGTTCACAGGCTCACTGGCTGGCTGGCTGGGGGTCCATGGTTTTGATATATTGAAAGTGAAGAGTAGAGTAGGGGACAGTTAGCAGAGGTGAGAGACCTCCTTGGGGAGGGGCTGTTCACCCAGCAGTGGCTGTGGCCTGGGTTTGGCATCATCTCAGACCTAGGTGACGAGTGGAAGGGAGTAAGCTTGGTCTGAGCCCAGTGGGCAGGACCAGTTAGTGGGCTGGAGAGGGCAGGTGACCGTCCCAAGGGTCTGCAAGGAGAGGATGCTGGTGGATGGGAAAATGGCTCGGCTGGGAGCTGTGCTGGGTGAGGAGGATGGGGGGCGGGCTCACAGGGGCCGAGTGCAGTGCAGGCGCTCCCCCCGGGGCTCCCAGGGGTGGTGGTGGGGCAGCTGGAGCCCTGCCGCCTCCTCACAGGGCTGCCTTTCCTCCTCTCCTGCCCAGTCCTTTGCAAGCAGCAGGCCCCAGAGCTGGAGCCGGCTGCGGCCCTGCCACCCCTGCCACAGCCCCCGCTGGCCCCCAGTGCGCCCATCACGCCGGCCCAGGGAGCCCCATCTATGGACGAGCTCATCCAGCAGAGCCAGTGGAACCTGCAGCAGCAGGAGCAACACCTGCTGGCCCTCCGACAGGTATGATCCCCCAAGCAGGTACAGGCCCCCCTCTGCGGCTGGGGGCACCTGCTGCCCCTTAGATAGGTACTGGCCCCTCCCCTTGTGGCCAGGGGCGGCTGCCTGGTGCTCGCCCCATTGCCCAGGGCCCAGCGCACCACTCTTATCACCCTGGTGCTCCCTGCTGGGCGTGTTCAGCCTCAGCCCTGATGCTACTCACAGGTTGCTTCTTGTTCCAGTAAGTCACCGCATGAGCTCTGATGCACACAGCCCGTCATGCTGGATGACTACCAGTAGGACTGTGTGTTACAGGTTGTGGGACAGAGTGCCAGGTAGCCTGTGGCTCTGCAAGCTAGGTCACCCCAGTCTCTTGGGGCAGGAACCCTTCACAGTCTGAGACTTCAGCCAAATACGGGAGGGTGAATTGTCAGAAAAATGAGATGAATGAGAAATAAGACATCTTAAAACACCAGCTTTACTCTGATTACTGGATTTGAGATGTAAAGTGACTGTCACATGACTGACATTTTGGAACACACCCTCAGTTTCCTCAAGGAGCTCTCCTCAGAGGCCGTGCGGCCTCAGCCAGCCCTGAGCCGACTGCAGGGCGCTGCTGCAGCCCCATTATCAGCCGTTCCTCAGATCTGGCCAGTCTAATGGGTGAAAGCCTGACATCGTATTTTAATTTCTGCTTCCCTGATTGTTAGTAAGGTTGCTTTCCCTCCCCCTGACTAGTGACCACATATATGTCTGTTGACACTCATCACTACGTTTTTTTGTATTTCTTGGGTTTGAGATTGTCAAGCAGGGTTGCTTGTTTCCTTGGCTCTGCATTTTTCTATCTGTTACGTCAGGGACAGACACCGTCTCCCGTTATGCCTTATCTCGCTTTATTCTCTGCCTGCCTGCCTGCTGGCCGTGGCTGTCCCAGATGTGGACACAAGGGACAGTACCTCCTGGTGCTGGGATGGGCTCTTAATGGGCCAGGCCAGAGAGTGCCTGGGCCAAGGTCCCTCCTCATGCAGTCTGGTGCCTCCTGGCCTCCAGGAGCAGGTGACGGCAGCCGTGGCCCACGCGGTGGAGCAGCAGATGCAGAAGCTCCTAGAGGAGACCCAGCTGGACATGAATGAATTTGACAACCTGCTGCAGCCCATCATTGACACATGCACCAAAGATGCCATCTCGGTGAGAGTGGGTGGGGGCCTAGTAGGGGCGGATCCTAGACTCCGGGGCTCCTTCGGAGCACGTCTGGGGTCAGGACAGTACACAGGCAAGGTGCGCCGCTCCACAGGTCGGGAGGGAGATGGAAGGAGGCAGAGGCCTTGCGCTGTGCCCCACTTGCCACGTGCCTGCGCACTGTGGCCAGAGGGGCATGCAACCTGCTCACCGTCAGCCTGGCTGTTGCAGGCCGGGAAAAACTGGATGTTCAGCAATGCCAAGTCCCCGCCACACTGCGAGCTGATGGCAGGTCACCTGCGGAATCGCATCACTGCCGACGGGGCACACTTTGAGCTTCGGCTGCACCTCATCTACCTGATCAACGACGTGCTGCACCACTGGTAAGTGCCCCACCAGCTCTGCCTTCCCTCCAGCTCCTCCCAGCTCCTCTTGGGTACCTGCTCTGCACCTAGGAGCTTGGCCTGGCCTGGGACTGGGTGGAGGTCACTTGTCCAAAGACCCTGTGTGAGGGTCGGCCTGAGCTGTGAGCCCTCTGTGGGGAGGACACTGACCCCAGATCCCTCCCCCTCCCTGGACTCTCCATGCTCTCCTTGCTCTCCTCGGGGCAGCTTCGGGGTGTCTTCCAGGATCTCTGCACCAGCTGCTAGCTCCCCATCACTCATCTGCACACACACACCTGTCACCTGACTGCTCACCTTCAGGGTCCCTCCCATAGGGTCTCCTTCACTAACCCTGTCCTACCCCACCTAGCCCAGCCCCCCACAGCCCTCCCAAGGGCAGGCCGTATTTACTTCTGTGTGGCCTCTTTGGTGCCTCATGATAAAGGATAACAAGAAACCAGATACCTGAGCCACAGCAGCCCAGGGAGGGCACAGCGGGAGCACACGTTGCTGTGAGGCCGGCATATAGCCGTCAGGCCTGGCTGCCATGCTTGGCTCTGAGCTGGGCCAGGCTGGAGGGGGCAGCTCCTGAGAGCAGCAGAAACAGGCCCGGCCTGCACCCCACGCCATGCGGCTCCAGGTCCTGCCCCTTCCCATTGCCCGCGCCACCTGGCAGCACTCCCTGTTTCTCTGCTTTTGGGAAATAAGCAGCCACTCGGAACTTCCTCTGCCCTACTGCTTCCACCAGCCACTCTGCTGACTCCAGATGGCCCTGCAGAGACAGCCCTGTTTCTGGCTATCCTCTAGCCATGCTCTTTTTGAGCGCCGCTCTGTACGGAGGCCCACCCTGTCCTCCCTCCCACACTGCTCTCCCTTTCCTGACCCGGCTTTCCAGCTCCGGGCACTTGCTGCTCTCTCTGAGCTCTCTCTGGTGAGCTTAGCACCAGAAGGTGTTTGAGCTGCTTGCCTTCTGTTCTGCGTCCTCTACCACCACCGTGCTGGGGGCCTGGGGTCATCTCATTGCCCAGCTGCAGGGCCTCTATACCCATTTCTACACAGAGCGTACCCCAGAGACAGTGGGGCAGGCTAGGGACCCCAGCATCCTGGCATGCCCTGCACACTCCCTCTGCCTCCAGAAAGGTGGGGCCCAAGCCCGGGTTTCCTCGTGGGAGGGGGGAGCAGTGCTGAGCAGGGCTGTGTGGAGGGCTGGGTGGACAGGCCCCTGAGCCTGCAGCAGCCCTTGCCCGCCCTTTACTGCCAGCCAGCCGGGGGCTCCTCCAGGCGCTCTGTCCATCTTCAGTACCACCTGGGAAGGAAGGCTTACTGTACTGGTGGGCCAGCTGAGGTGGCAGGCTGTTGCTCTAACAGTCCCCAGGCTCTTCTTTCCCTCCTCCCACTGCTGTGGGTGTGTCACTGGGGCCCAGGCGCCAGATCAGGTCTTGGGAGTCCAGCCCTTTTCCCAGCTGGGTTGGGGGCCCATTTCCAGAGACGGCAGAGGGTGCTATGGCTAAAGCCGCATGGTAACGGGCACGTGGCCGGGTCCCGCCCCAGGGCCCTGACGCGCGGAAGGTCTCTCCCTCACAGCCAGCGCAAGCAGGCCAGGGAGCTGCTGGCCGCCCTGCAGAAGGTTGTGGTACCCATCTACTGCACCAGCTTCTTGGCCGTGGAGGAGGACAAGCAGCAGAAGATCGCCCGGGTACGGGGCGGGGCTGGCAGGGGTGCAGGACGGGCTGGGACTGGGGGCACTGCCTTCCCCGCTGACAGGGCCTCTCCTTCCTGCCCTGCGTCCAGCTTCTGCAGCTCTGGGAGAAGAACGGCTACTTTGATGACTCCATCATCCAGCAGTTACAGAGCCCGGCCCTAGGCCTCGGCCAGTACCAGGTGTGTGCCACTGCCACCGCACTCCCTGGGGTGTGCAGCCGCCACCCCAGCCTGTTTCCAGAAGTCAAGGCTCACACTTCCTACCCCTGGCAGACCGCTGGTGGGGCAGTGACCTCAGAGCCCAGGTGTGCCTCTGGGGTGGGTTTGAGCGCTGGGAGGCAGGGTCTGAGTGCCGCCTCTGGGGGCCTCACCCCATCACAGGAGCCCAGGAGCCCTTCACAAGAGCCCACCTGGCTTTTTCGTGGTGCATTTGTGACCTGGTTGCCTGATGGAGGTGCTGCTGTGGGCAGGTCTTTGGCCTGTCTGCTTGGTGCTCCAGGCAGGCTTCCACACGACGGAAGCACGAGGAAGCCCCAGTATAGTCTAGGTTGCCACAGTCACAGGCCATGCAGTGTTCCCTGTGTGCGCTTCGTTCTCTCTCTGAGAAGCGTCTGCCCTGTGGGCCGACAGAGGGCCAGGTCTCCTTGGTCTCCTGTGCGTCTGCGCCTTCCACAGCTGCTCGCGGGACAGACAGCACTCACACCCGTTCCTCAGGTGGGGCGCTGCCGCCTTCCTGCAGAGCTCTGGCTGAGGGGCAGTAGCTGTATGCTGACTTTGTCCTCTGTGACACTCCTGACCACCACCTCCCCACAGGGGAGAAGCTTTCTGCCCAGAAAGGCAAACAAAAGGGAGCTTCATACTCTCTCCAAATTTCACCCACTTTGTTTTTGGTTGTTGTCAAAGGAAAGCCGACTCCTACCATCCTTCTGCAGGGACATTAACACTGCTCTCCCCCAGAGGTGGTGGCAGTGGCTCACTTCCACTGAGCCACCCTCTTCTCTTCCCACATTATGTGGTAGTTCACCGACTTCCCCAACCCTCAGAGTAGGTCCCATTATTGTCCCATTTTACAGATGGGAAAACAGCCTTGGGGAGGCTGTGACTTGCTCAAAGTCATGCAAGGAGTGAGAAGCTCGGCCTGGGACTATGGCCTAGAATATTCGTCGGCCACTTGTGTTTAGTGGCAGCGTGGCAGGTCAGGGCCTGGTTGTTGTCTGTTGCTTGCTCCTGTTGCCTGGGGGTCAGATCGCGTGGCAGCGAGCACCCTCATCACCGGCCTCCAGCCAGACTCGTGCTCTTTTCTTCAAGACCGTGTTGTTTTACAAGACAGTCATCTGCCTGCTCCAGGCCCCTGTGCCTCCCTGCCCGGGTAATGCCCTGACTTCTGGGTGCTTTCCAGGCATTTCTAGAAGGTGTGGGACCAGGTGGTGAGCCCAACGATTCACGTCCTGAATACCAGTGGCTCCCCTCTCTTTGCAGGCGACGCTTATCAATGAGTACTCCTCTGTGGTGCAGCCAGTACAGCTGGCCTTCCAGCAGCAGATCCAGACCCTCAAGACTCAGCACGAGGAGTTTGTCAGCAGCCTGGCCCAGCAGCCGCAGATGCCCATGCCGCAGATGGAGGCGGACGTCAAGGCCACGCCCCCGCCACCTGCCCCGCCCCCGGCCCCCACGCCCACCCCCGCTATCCCGCCAACCACCCAGCCTGGTATGGGGCTCCCCCTGCACCCGGCTTTAGGAGCTTCTTCCCCAGAGCAGGACTCTAGGGCTGTACTTCAGGCCCAGCCCTCGGGTCAGAGTCTAAGCTTTACACATGCTGGGCAGGGCACCTCACGGGCAGGAGTAACTAACTCTTAAGCCCAGATGATTCCTTTCCTCACAGAACAGAACACGCAGGTCATTTCTCCATACTAGGATAACTTGTACAGCAGACGGACAGGGGCAGGGAAAGAATCAAAACAGATTCTAGTGTCACTTCTGAACCCTGATGCAGAAATGCTAAATAACATTGTAACAATTGAAGTCCAGCAAAGCATTTCAAAAATACATCACGAACAAATAGGATTTGTCCTGAAAATATGTAAGAATGGCTTAAAGCTAGAAAGTATGATAAGATAATACATGAGGCAGGAAGAATTAACTAGATGCAGGAAGATGTTTCGTAAAATTCAAGCATAAAAATTTGAGCAAACTACAGTCGATATGGCAAGAGTTAGTTTATCATGGAGCTTCCAAAGGAGGGGGTTCTCACGCAGGGTCGGTCTCCCCTCCCTCCTGCTTTCCTGGAGGTGGTCCTGACTGGGAGGACTGCGAGGCGAGGTGTGGAGGGAAAGGGGCTCCCCAGCCAGGGGCGGCCCCCAGCAGTCTCACGCCGCGCCTCCCGCTCTCAGTGGCCCCCGCTGATTGCTTTCTTGCCTGGCTCTAGATGACACCAAGCCGCCCATCCAGATGCCCAGCTCCTCTGAGTATGACGCGCCCGGAGGGCTCCAGGATCCTGCCGCCCCCGGCTCCCGCGGCCCTGGGCCCCATGACCAGATCCCTCCCAACAAGCCCCCATGGTTTGACCAGCCTCACCCAGTCGCTCCTTGGGGTCAACAGCAGGTATTTCAAACTTGTGGTGTGGGCAGGTGGGCAGCCTCTTAACACCTGTCGGCAGGGAAACGAGATTCAGCAGCTGAGTCCAGGCTGGGCAAGGGTGTGCATGCGTAAAGCACCTTCTTCCCGGGGAGTGACTGCAGAACAAGAAAAGCCATCGCACAGCTTCTCTGCAGTGCAGATCCCTGTTTTCCCATGAGTGCTGGTAAATTTCACAGGGTTGAGTATAACAAAGTGATTCGTTTCTTTCCCTTTTTAAAGTGGTTTAACTAGCACAGTATCATCATTTTGTCTCCCTGAGAAGAACATGCTTTCACAAGGAAAGGGAAGGTCACAAGTATCAGATTGGTGGTGTTTTCTGGGGCTCAGACACTGGTCACATCCTCCTGTTCCTTGGGGCCGGAAGCTTCCAGGCCAGGGCGGGGGCCATCGGGGGCTCTCTCGTCTGGCACAGCAGGGCCTGGGCCTCTCCTGGACGTGGTCGTGTCCCTCCCTAAGCATGGAAGGGAGACAGCGCTGCCCTGACAGGTGGGCGTCGGCCCCCTGAGGCCCCCCCCCCCCCCGCCCACCCTCAGTTTCAGGACCAGAGAATTCACTTCATGGAGGAGTGGGCACAGAGACAGCCCCCACCTCCGCACACCAGCTGTGAGCAGGTCGGCCAGATGCTGCGATTCTTGTGGAAATAGAGGCCATTAGCATTTCTGGGTTCCATTGTCTTCCCTGGACTGGAGGGATAGGCTCACAGCCACAGGGCCCCCTCACTGAGGGTCTGCCCCCTGTCAGCAGTGTGCTTGGCCTGGCCTGCCCCCATGCCCTCTTACATTTTGAAATAGTTGCCATATTTAAAATCTGGCTTTCTGGCTTCTCTTCAGAGACGTAAGGCCTGGTGGCCTGGGCCAGCCCCCTTGTGGTGATGATGGTCAGGAGAATCCAGCAGCCATGACCCTAGAGGTGGCCCTTGCTTGGCCTCACCTGAGCCTGTCCCACCCTGGCCCTAAGTTTGGGGTCGCGGTCTCTGCTTAAGGCTTCTGGGCAGCAGCTGGGTGAGATGCGGGGCTTCTGTTGCCTTCAGCCGGCACAAGGACATTTCCTGGCGTGGGGCCCCAGGAGCAGACCCTTGGCAGAATTTAGGGGTAGCTGTTTATGTGGGAGGTGACCCAGGAGCCAGTGCAGGTGAGAGGAGAGGTGACAGAGAAGGCACTTCATGGGGTAGGTGTTAGTACACTGGCAGCCACCAGGCACGGGTGTGGGGCTGTTCCAGGCCCAGCATTTGGCCTGCCCGGCCCTGCATGCTGCAGCATGGGAGTGGGCCCAGGGGCGCTGCAGTCTCCCCAGGGGCTTATGCCAGCTCTTTGCCTTACAGCCTCCTGAGCAGCCCCCCTATCCACACCACCAGGGTGGGCCGCCCCACTGCCCACCCTGGAACAACAGCCATGAGGGCATGTGGGGTGAGCAACGTGGGGACCCCGGCTGGAATGGCCAGCGTGATGCGCCCTGGAACAACCAGCCCGACCCCAACTGGAACAGCCAGTTCGAGGGCCCCTGGAACAGCCAGCATGAGCAGCCGCCCTGGGGCGGGGGCCAGCGCGAGCCGCCCTTCCGCATGCAGCGGCCACCACACTTCCGAGGGCCCTTCCCACCACACCAGCAGCACCCACAGTTCAACCAGCCGCCACACCCGCACAACTTCAACCGCTTCCCGCCCCGCTTCATGCAGGATGACTTTCCCCCACGCCACCCCTTCGAGCGGCCACCCTACCCGCACCGCTTTGACTACCCTCAGGGAGACTTCCCTGCTGGTAAGTGCCAGGTGCCCACCTCCCTCCCCTGCCCCTTGTTCCCTGAGAATCCAGGCCATCAGCTCAGAGGAAGCACCTGACAGCCTGGCCTGGAGCAGGGCATTGGCACTGCTTGAGTTCCTAGCTCTGTGTCCTGGGTGCTTCACGTCCAGGTGACAGGCAGAGGGTCGTGGAATGATAGGAGTGTGGCCTGGGTCCCCAGAATGATGGGGAGATGAGGAGGACAGATTAGTGACCCCAGGGTCAGCTCCTGCCCCACACCAGGCTGACTAGATGTGCCGCCCAGTCCCTTTTCCACACATGTGGGAGCAGGGCCCTCACTGTCCCTCAGATGAGGGGAGACACAGGGTTCTGAGAAGAGAACTGGCTCCCAAGCCACAACAGGGCACAGGCGGGGTGCTGTGGGGTGGTGCCTAGGACTTGGCATGGCTTGGGCTGCTCCTCCCTGGGCCTTGGTTTTTTCCAAAGCATCTTCAGTTTTGTGGATTTTTTTTTTTTTTTCAGAAATGTTCTTTTCTATGGCTGCTTTTATCTTTTAGATGCATTTTTTTACTATAAATTCAGCTCAGAGACTACCTGGCACACTTGTTGCTTGTACTAGTCTCCCAGGGCCACCCTTACCAAGCTCCACCAACCAGGCAGCTTAACAAGGTTTACTCCACCGTCCTGGGGGTGGGCGTCCCAGGTCAGCGCGCCGGCAGGGCTGGCTCCTCCTGAGGCTGCCCTCCTTGGCGTGTAGACGGCCATGTTCCCCATGTCCGGTGCAGGCGTCCCTCTCTGCGTGTCTGTGTCCTGCTCTTACAAGGACGCTAGTCAGGACACACCCCCCAGAGGACCCCATTCTAGGTTAATCACCTTTTCAAAGGTGCTGTTTCCCAATACAGTCACGTGCTGAGGTCCTGGGGTGAGTTTGGGAAACGCAGCTCAGCCCATGACTTTGCTCTTTTGAAGTGCGAGTCCCCCTATGGCCCTTGCCCGTGAGGCTGTGAGGGACGCTGTGGGGGTAGGAGGGCCGTCCTCTCATTGCCTGCGCCGTCCAGGCGTGTGGAGCAGCAGGAGAGGTGTCAGCGGGGCTGCCCTGAATGTGGGTGTTGGCTGCTGGCCCCCCACCAAACCCCTTTCCATGGGCACTTGTCACCTCAGCAGTCTCCACCGAGCTGTGGCACCCGCCAGCTCTTGGCTTGCTGGCAGGCCTGAGACAGTTTCTGGTTTGCAGAGATGGGACCCCCTCACCACCACCCTGGCCACCGCATGCCTCACCCTGGGATCAACGAGCACCCGCCCTGGGGTGGGCCTCAGCACCCTGACTTCGGCCCTCCTCCCCACGGCTTCAACGGCCAGCCCCCCCACATGCGACGACAGGGCCCTCCCCACATCAACCACGACGATCCCAGCCTGGTGCCCAACGTGCCCTACTTTGATCTACCAGCTGGGCTGATGGCCCCCCTGGTGAAGGTAATGTCGCCACAGTGACCTCCCAGCTCGTTAGCACATGGCTGTGCTGGCGCCTCTGTCTCCACGTGAAACACGCGTGGGTGTAGCCCGTTTCCCGTGAGTCCACAGAGCATGGCTTCCTGGGGCCCTTTCCCTCCCACCATCTTCTGCATCCCATGAACTTGACCACATAGTCAGGGAGAAAGCTAGGTGCGTTCCTGAAGCAGGAGGGAGGGAGTCCGGGGCCCCTCTGCTCCTCCGCACGTCCCTGCCAGTGCTCCAGGTATTGTGGCCGTGAGTGGGCTCAGCTCGCTGATGCTCTTCTTGGTCCCAGCGCTGGGAAGCTGCCTGGCCCAGGCTGGCAGCAGAGGCCCTTCTCAGAGAAGGACGGCCGCTGAGCTGTGCCTGCAGGGGCAGCATGAGAGGAACGAGGCAGCAGTTCAAGATGAGGCTTGCCAAGAGAGACTGGGCTCAGGGGATCGTGGGGGCCCTTCTGGCTCCGCCACCTCCTGACCCATTCGAGGTGCTGTCAGGGTGAAGTTCGTCAGGTCACCCCAGGCAGTGTGGTAGTTGGGGCTGCTCTGACGCAGGGAGGTCATGCCCCAAGACAGCAGTCTGCAGAGGGGCATCCGGGACCCACCGCATGTGTGACACCAAGGGGTCCATGTCTTCCATGTGCGTTTTCTGGAGAGTTCCTCAGGCCCTTTGGGAGCTAAGCCACTGGTGTGGCTGCAGCCCACAAGAAGGAGCTTCTCCCAGGAAGGGCAGGATGAGGAGCTCCGATGCCCAGCGTGGCCCTGACACCGGCTGGGACCGTGTCCCCTGTGCCCCTGCAGCACCCTGGGTGGGCCTGAGGGTCTTCACAGGGCATGGCTGATCACTGTTCTCCACTGCAGCTGGAAGACCATGAGTACAAGCCTTTGGACCCTAAAGACATCCGCCTCCCACCCCCGATGCCACCCAGCGAGAGGCTTCTAGCAGCTGTGGAGGCCTTCTACAGCCCTCCCTCCCATGACAGGCCCAGGAACAGGTATGGGGCTCGGGGAGACCAGGCAGGGGCTGGTGACGGCCCCCTCCCAGCCTGTCTTCCCAAGTTTGCTTTTAGGAAAGACTTGTGGCAGCCATGCCTTCTGCCCAGGGTGGTGTGAGGCCCGTTGAGGAAACGTAGCAACCTCTTAAGAGAAAACATTAATCTGTCCAAGTTAGGAGGGCCTGCTGCCCCCTGGCTGTGGGTGGTGTGTGTCCCCCGTGCCGTAGCCTAGAGGAAGGGCTTTTCTAGTTGGGACACACAAGACATCATGGCGGACGTGGTGGCCACTGCCACATATGCCAGGTTGTCACAGCGCCCCCTAGGGATACCTCCCCTAGCAGGTGCGTCCTCTGCCCTGGGCCAAGCCACAGGCCTGTCCACCCATGAGTCACAGCCCCATGCCCCCACTTACGGCTGGCGACCACAGGCTCTCAGACCCTCCTCAGCTATTTGGAGGAACATTGATGTGGGAACAGATAGAGATGGGTGGAACCTCTTCCCAGCAGGCGGCCTGGCCCCCCCCACCTGCTTCCTTGTCAGCAGGGGCAGCCCCCTGGTAGTGACACCTGAGATCCACGCTCAGCGTCCTGAGCAAATGAGGGCCGGGAGGGCAGCCTGCCAGGGGCTCATCCCCACTGACCTTCCGTCAGCTCCCTGTGGGTGGGAGCAGGCATGCAGTCACATGGGGGATGTGTCTTACAGCGAAGGCTGGGAGCAGAATGGCCTGTACGAGTTCTTCCGGGCATTAGCCCGTTTCCCGTGAGTCCACAGAGCATGGCTTCCTGGGGCCCTTTCCCTCCCACCATCTTCTGCATCCCATGAACTTGACCACATAGTCAGGGAGAAAGCTAGGTGCGTTCCTGAAGCAGGAGGGAGGGAGTCCGGGGCCCCTCTGCTCCTCCGCACGTCCCTGCCAGTGCTCCAGGTATTGTGGCCGTGAGTGGGCTCAGCTCGCTGATGCTCTTCTTGGTCCCAGCGCTGGGAAGCTGCCTGGCCCAGGCTGGCAGCAGAGGCCCTTCTCAGAGAAGGACGGCCGCTGAGCTGTGCCTGCAGGGGCAGCATGAGAGGAACGAGGCAGCAGTTCAAGATGAGGCTTGCCAAGAGAGACTGGGCTCAGGGGATCGTGGGGGCCCTTCTGGCTCCGCCACCTCCTGACCCATTCGAGGTGCTGTCAGGGTGAAGTTCGTCAGGTCACCCCAGGCAGTGTGGTAGTTGGGGCTGCTCTGACGCAGGGAGGTCATGCCCCAAGACAGCAGTCTGCAGAGGGGCATCCGGGACCCACCGCATGTGTGACACCAAGGGGTCCATGTCTTCCATGTGCGTTTTCTGGAGAGTTCCTCAGGCCCTTTGGGAGCTAAGCCACTGGTGTGGCTGCAGCCCACAAGAAGGAGCTTCTCCCAGGAAGGGCAGGATGAGGAGCTCCGATGCCCAGCGTGGCCCTGACACCGGCTGGGACCGTGTCCCCTGTGCCCCTGCAGCACCCTGGGTGGGCCTGAGGGTCTTCACAGGGCATGGCTGATCACTGTTCTCCACTGCAGCTGGAAGACCATGAGTACAAGCCTTTGGACCCTAAAGACATCCGCCTCCCACCCCCGATGCCACCCAGCGAGAGGCTTCTAGCAGCTGTGGAGGCCTTCTACAGCCCTCCCTCCCATGACAGGCCCAGGAACAGGTATGGGGCTCGGGGAGACCAGGCAGGGGCTGGTGACGGCCCCCTCCCAGCCTGTCTTCCCAAGTTTGCTTTTAGGAAAGACTTGTGGCAGCCATGCCTTCTGCCCAGGGTGGTGTGAGGCCCGTTGAGGAAACGTAGCAACCTCTTAAGAGAAAACATTAATCTGTCCAAGTTAGGAGGGCCTGCTGCCCCCTGGCTGTGGGTGGTGTGTGTCCCCCGTGCCGTAGCCTAGAGGAAGGGCTTTTCTAGTTGGGACACACAAGACATCATGGCGGACGTGGTGGCCACTGCCACATATGCCAGGTTGTCACAGCGCCCCCTAGGGATACCTCCCCTAGCAGGTGCGTCCTCTGCCCTGGGCCAAGCCACAGGCCTGTCCACCCATGAGTCACAGCCCCATGCCCCCACTTACGGCTGGCGACCACAGGCTCTCAGACCCTCCTCAGCTATTTGGAGGAACATTGATGTGGGAACAGATAGAGATGGGTGGAACCTCTTCCCAGCAGGCAGCCTGGCCCCCCCCACCTGCTTCCTTGTCAGCAGGGGCAGCCCCCTGGTAGTGACACCTGAGATCCACGCTCAGCGTCCTGAGCAAATGAGGGCCGGGAGGGCAGCCTGCCAGGGGCTCATCCCCACTGACCTTCCGTCAGCTCCCTGTGGGTGGGAGCAGGCATGCAGTCACATGGGGGATGTGTCTTACAGCGAAGGCTGGGAGCAGAATGGCCTGTACGAGTTCTTCCGGGCAAAGATGCGGGCCCGGCGGAGGAAAGGCCAGGAGAAGAGGAACAGGTGAGCGCCCCATGCCTGCCACGTCCCACCACGCCTTCCACGGGGCACCTGTCGTGTCAAGCCTGAACTCGGAAGGGGGTGGGCTCTGGCCTCCGCCTGAGCGTCAGGTCTCATACGGCGCACCGGGGCACCGCGGCGCCGGGAGCTTTCTCCCTGGGTCAGAGCGCCAGCCAGGCAGGAGGTCTGTGTTAGCCTCGGAGCTCAAGGCCCCTGCGCACCTGGGCTCCTGCGGAGGCCATGTGCTCACCAGGCCTCTACCCGCAGCGGCCCCTCCAGGTCTCGGAGCAGATCCAAAAGTCGGGGCCGCTCCTCTTCCCGCTCCAACTCGAGGTCCTCCAAGTCGTCCGGTTCATACTCGAGGTCGAGGTCGCGCTCCTGCTCCCGCTCCTACTCCCGCTCCCGCTCCAGGTAGGCCGGGCCCTGCCCTGGGGGGCATGAGGCCACAGTGCAGCCGGAGATGCTGACCCTGCCCTCCCCACAGGAGCCGCAGCCGCTCCCGCTCCTCGCGCAGCCGCTCCCGCTCCCGCTCCCGCTCCCGCTCCAAGTCCTATTCTCCGGGAAGGAGACGTCACTCACGGTCCAGGAGCCCCACCCCGCCGTAAGATTTCTGTCTTAACTGTCCAGTGAGCCTCTGGGACCCTCTGATGCTTTGCTGTGAATGTTGAGACGTGTCGTTAGAAGACGAGCCCACAGAGGTCTGTGCCGGGGCCGCGCCTCAGGGACCCCAAGCACTAGTGCAGTGGCAGTGGCTGCTCGTCTCACCATGCTCTCCCCTCTTACTGTCAGGCTGTAAAGCCCGAGGTGGCTCTGACCGTTCCAGGGCCTCGGTGTACCTGCCCTTGCTCAGTGCAGGGCCAGCCAGTCCTCATAGGGCACCCTTCTCTGGCTGGTGAAGACGGTAAAGGAGAAAGAGAGACACTGTGTGTGCGCTCGTAGGCCGGCGAATGTTCACATCAGCTATATACACACTGTAACATCCTAAGAATTTTCATCCCAATAAATGTATTTGTTCTTTTTTAAAAACCATAACCTGCCTTAATTTTAGTTCCTCGGCTGGTCTGGGTTCTAATTCAGCACCTCCTATACCTGACTCAAGGCTCGGGGAAGAGAACAAAGGCCATCAGATGCTGGTGAAAATGGGTAAGGCTCCTGGGAGGTCGAGTGGCCTGCTCTGGGCTCTCGGGGTTGGGGAGCCTGGTGACCCAGTGCCAGAGCTGTTAGAGGGCAAGCCCACAGGGCTGTGCCAGGCATCCTTTCTCACCATGGCAGTTTCTGGCAGTGAACCACACGGCTGCACGTCACTCGGTGCCCCGTGCCCTGCTCTCTAACTTCACGTCGGCCCTTGTGGGTTGTGACCACCCCTCCCTTTCTTCCTAGGCTGGAGTGGATCTGGTGGCCTTGGTGTGAAAGAGCAAGGGATCCAGGACCCCATCAAGGGTGGGGACGTGCGGGACAAGTGGGACCAATACAAGGGCGTGGGCGTGGCCCTGGACGACCCCTATGAGAACTACCGCCGGAATAAGAGCTACTCCTTCATCGCCCGCATGAAGGCCAGGGATGAGTGCAAGTAGGTGCACGGGGCAGGAGCCGCGCCCGTGGCCGTGGCCATTGGACCTCCCTGGCTCCTTGGCAGCGGAAGGTGGTAGGGACAGCTCGGCTCTCACATGGCCTCCATCTCTGGGGAGTGGCAAAGGAGGAAAACTACAGCGTGCCTAGTGGCGGAGCCATGCTCCAGGGCATGGGGGCCCCAGGCCCTACCTGCAAACCAGCTCTTACACAGAAGCAAGACCCACAGGAGGAGATGCCCCGGCCAGTGTGGCCATGAACTCGTTTCCCTTGACAGTGAAGCAAGAGATTCAAGACCCTCCGGATGAGGATCCTTGACATCTGAAAGAACAGATGCGTCGTGCCTCCACTTACACCAGTAACAAACAGCTTGTGGAGAGGCCGAGCAAGCACCCGGCCAGCCCAGGGTGGCACAGACCAGGCCACCTCCACCCCCCCACCCCTGGGTCATGTGGTGATGAAGGTCCAGCCGGCACACATGGTAGTACCGTTAACTCCTGAAAAATGGAAAAACCTTTTGATTTGCAAAGTTAAACAGGGTTTTCGTTTATACTCCAAATGGTTTAGTTACAGAAAAAGAACATTGTTCTAAGATGGTCCCCCAGAGGTCATTTGAAAACCTGATTCCTCTGACATACTGGCCCTTAGTTCAGTTATTTTAGTTGTTGAAGTTGAATACTTTTTTGGAATGTTAGCCATTTGCTATTATCTGCAGAAACAAAACGTTCTAAGGAAACTGATCTGAGGCATCTTCAGGTCACAGGATGACACCTGTGGAGAATCTGTGCCCTGGCATCTCTACCCACCTGTGGCAGAGAGGAAAGCCCGTGACAGCCCACGTGACAGCCACTCAGATCCGGAGTGGGGGGAGGGTAAAGGCCCACACGCCTCTGGCTCTGTCATTTCCTTTGCCTGACCCCCTGCCCTCCAAAGGGAGGTGAGGCCAGGAGGCAGCCTCCTCTCCTGGGAGCTGTGGTGACTGTGCCAGGAGTGGCTGCAACTGGCAACTGGCATTCACGGACAGCCCAGTGTGGTGCCATTTATTTGTACAGAAACATTTTTGAAAACTTCTTTTCAATAAAATGCAAACTCTTCACCTTTTCAACCTGATGTGATAAAATATTTGATTTTGCTTTAGACTTCCTGTAGCTGTGAATTGTTCAAACATGTCTGAATCAGGATAAAGTGTAAACACGTGCTGTTAACAATTTCTTGTGGGTTTTACTGTTTTGCCTTCAAATAAAGCCTTTTTTTAAAGACTTCATTCTCTTTGTGTGTAAGTCAGAAGTGTTCTAAGGCTGAGTGGGGAGATGGCTTATGGACTTGGGTCTGCTCTGCACTGGTGGCATCTTGCCTGGGAGTCTCCAATGTAGACACCTGGCCATGTCCTTGTTTCCCCGTCCACCTCAGTCACTGGGAAGCCGGCACCCAGCCGAGCGGAGCCGCTCCTTGGAGTCTCCATCCTGCCTGCCGTGAATGTGGACAGCTCCACCTGGGTCCCGCTGCACTGGCCTGTGGTGCGTCACCTCCAGGGCTTGGCACCCCAGGAGCTGGCGGCTGGAAGGTTCAACTGTTCAGTAGAAAAGGCTTGAGCTGGCATTTTGCTCCGGTGAGTTCTGGGCACCACCTGCCCCCACCACTGAGTGTCTCCTGGGAACAACCACGAACATCCCAGCTGACAAACTAAGCCAGCTTCCCCTGCTGGTACTCACGCTCTTCCTGCACCTCCTCCAGGGTGGCCTCCATGGTCAGCGGGGCAGGCCTGTAGTGCCTGATGTACTGTGGGGCAGAGCAGACAGGACACATCAGCACTGCTGCCTCCACCTACTGAGGCTTTGGGTGCTGGAGACATGCCTGTCCCCAGTGGCTCCTGGGCAGGTTGATAGAAAAGTAAAATTAGAAGATGCCCTGTGACAATGCTGTGGAAACCAGGAGAGACCAGCCCAGGGAAGCACCAGGTAAGGGCAAGTGCTGACGGACAGAGCCCCCCTGCACCTCGGCCAGGGTGGGGGCTGGCGAGTGGGGCTGCCAGGGATGACCTCCACACGCAGGTTGGGAAGGAGGGGCTGGGTGCACTCGCAGAATTTGGCGCAGAACAGGCTGCTCCTTGCTCCGTGGGCTGTAGGCAGGTGACATGGACAGATGGCTTCAGCCTACATCCCATCAACTAACATGGCCAACAGGGGAGCAACTTAAGGACCCAGGGGTGCAGTCAACTGGATCCAGAATATGGAAACCTGTCAAATAAGCAGCCAATAAACTGCAATGAAACAAAAAAGAGATTGGGGAGGGGGGCAGACAGCTGAAGAGCAGTGCTTCTCAAAGTGGGTCCCCACAGGCACATGGGGAAAATGCCCAATCCCAGGCCCATCTGCTGCTGACAACCTGGGCTGTCACAGGTGCCTGCCCAAGGCAGAGAAACTCTAGATTAGGAGGCTCAAAAGACACCAGGCCATCTCACTGTATGGGCTTTGTCTGGATCCTGATGGAAAAATACAAGTAAGTGTGTGACCTTTGTGAGACAAAGGGAAACCTGAACACTGCACATCCAGTGATAAGAAAAGGTCACTTGATCTGGTATTATGATTAGTTTTCAAAAGTCCTTATTTTTTGGAAACAAAAATTTGCAAGTAAAATGATAAAAATCATGCAGCTCATATAGTATGATGCCATTTCTATACAGAATATACATGATGATACTATTATATATTATACCTATTGCATTGTAATATATATGTATTACATATTGTAGATGTTATACACAATATAGTTTATATTTTACATAGAAAAATCTAGTACACATTGTTAATAGTGCTCTCTGAAATTATGGAGGACTTTGCAAGGTACGTATCTCAAAATTTTTATCAAATAACATTTCTTATAATTAGCCAAAAACTAAAATTTTGGAGGGAAAAAGGCAGGTGTGACATCCCTTGGGCCCACAGGACAGAGGAGCGAGGCCCTGCCCAGGCAATGCTTGGGGTCTTTGGAGGGACAGGACCACTCACTGGGCAGGCCACCTGTGGTCCGAGGTCACACAGGGCCGAGCCAGCTTCAGCTCTGGCTCTGAGGGTTCCCACTCTGTACGGGCTCTCGTCACCTACAAGGAGAGAACGAGGCTGCCTCCACTACGCCTGAAGCAACCGCACGCGAGTGTCCCTGCCCCCCAGGCTGCGCGTGCCCCCCTCCGCCCTCTCCTGGGAAGGTCACCTCTTTGGTCTCCTCCAGGGTGTGGTAATGGTACGACTCTTGGTCCAGGGACTGCAGGAGGGACACGTGCAGGTGCCGGCTGGCCTCGATGAACTGCTGCGTCAGGCTCAGCTGCTGCTTCAGCATGTCGTTGAGTGCAAACACGGCCGGGCTGTAAGCTGTCAGGGCTGCGCCCACTCCATGTCACTTGGGCCCCAAGGAGCAGGGCAGGGGGGCAGGTCAACCCCCACTCCTCAATGTCAGCTGCTATGGGCCATGGGCTCTGCAGCGCCCCCCCCAAGGCTCTATCAAGATGCGCTTTGGACATGCTGCCGCCGGCAGAAGTGGAACGCCTGATCTCTCCACCTGTCTCTGCAGTAAATGCACTGCTTTCTCCTGATGGGTGTGGCACTCTCAGGGGTTGCACAGGTATGAACACTCAGACCCCAGGCAGAAAGGGAAGTCCTGATCAAAACGTCTAGTGCAAAGAACCAAGTCTAGTAAAGGGCACCCCAAATTGTGCAACCACAGAGTGAATCTAGTCGATGCTACTGAATGCACACCTAAAAATGCATAGCAGGGTAAACTTTATATTATAAAAAAATTTTTAATGTAAAAAACATAATTAAAAATAAGATTTTTCATCAACTTAATGCAATTAAAAATAAAAATTGCACAGCTGTTAAAAATGATCAGTATTAAGACTACATAATAACATGGAAAAATCTCTGAAGTAACACTATTTTTAAAAAGGATGAGATTTTTTTTAAAGGATATAAACAGTTCATGTTACAACCAGTGTATTTTAGTATCTTCATCCTTTAAAAAACTGGAAAGGGAAAAAATAGCAGGTACTAGACAGAAACTTGCTGGTGTCACGTGAGCTGCCAGCGGCCCCATGGGGATCAAGCACAATCTGGGCCCCCTAAAGAGGCTGTCAGTGCCCTCCTCCTGCCCGGGGCCAGGCTGGGCCTCCCCAGGACCCCACAACTCCCCCAGACTCAGAAGAGGCAATGGCTGCGTCCACCAGGCTGACTGCCACTTAGCACTGGCTGAGTGTCTTCAGGGGAAAAATAACTGGATTCTGGACAAAAAGGCTCAAAGGAAAACACTCAAAACAAAAACAGCCCTGACGGAGTGGAGGGCTTTTTATTTGTGACCTCCCTGCTTTATCTGACATTGGTGTCCATGGGCAAGACAGACTGAAGGTTCTCAGACACTGTCATGCAGGCTCCTAGGAACTGTGGCAGCTGCCCGTGGCCTTGATAATTCCCACCAACAGAGTCCCTAAACCCAGAGCTCAAGGGGCGCCACACCTCCAAAGGAGGTGTCAATTTGCAGGTGAAATGCACCCACTTGACCACAAGGACCTGCTGAGCTGGGCTGTTACCTTCTATTGCACCCATGCTGATGATGTGACTGGCGATGGGCGTGGGGTCCACGTAGGCACCTCCCAGGGCTGGCCCGACGGCTGCCACACCGGCCCCTGGCCCAAGGACAAAGGGGATGGCAGTGAACAAACCGGCAAGATTCAGAGCAATGACTTTCTCATCAATGGATATGACGGCATAAACCAGTTCTTTTCTCTTTCTGAAAGTGACAGCCACCATTCTTGTTTTAACCTCTTCACCTTTTAAAGTTTCCCCACACTCATCTCCATCTTTCTGGTGGGTTCTCCCAGTTCAGTGTCTAAGGCTGTTGACCTGGCAGAAGGCACTGATCGCTGCAGCTCCCAGGGTCTGGTGACAGCAGCACGGCGCCCCCCCACCCACCTTCCTTCCAAGGGGCCCTCTGTGGGCTCCGATATGGCCACTGGACAGAGCCTAGGTTTCGACACCCCTGAACCCCTTCTAGGGACTCCACTCGGCATTTCTGACTTCCCTGCCTGACAAAGAGAATGGTCCCATCGCGCTGCAGTGTGAGCTCCCAGCTGACACACGGCCGCACTCTCAAATCGTGAGTGGATCAGGCAACACTTACACCCCTGGCACAACCCAGAAACAAGCTCTTTCTACAGTGTGGCTGCTGTCTAGACAACAAAAGGGAGCAGAAGAATGCTTAAAAGGGGACTTTTTGTCCAGAAGGGCCAAGACTGAAGCTGGGGATGTCTGGAAAGAAAGCACAGGCATGATGGGAAGTGTCCTCGGCACCACAGAACAGACCCCGCCAAAGCGCTCCAAGTTCAGACCACCAGCGAGGCTGGAGACCAGCAGTCCTTGGCACCCCCAAGCTGAGCCCTGGGAGCCTCCTGAGGACACGTATCCCAGAAGGGGGCTCCACTCTCACTACTGTCCCCACGCCCACCATGGGCAGTGCCGTTTGGGGCTGAGCAGTTCTCTCGGAGCAGCAACTCTGGCCCCCACCCACTAGACTGCTGCCTAGTCGTGACAGCCAAAAAGGACTCTGGACCTTGCTGAGGTCCCAGGGCAGGACCACCCCAGTTGAGAACCACTGCCTGAGTCTTTGATCCTGAGAACTTTCAGAATGTTCTGGAGCTCAGAAGGGAGTGGGAAACACACTGGGCAGCTGACCCTTATCTGTGGAAGAGGAAACAGGGTGCTGGGGTCTCCCCAGCTGGTTGTTGACAACAGGCCAGACCTGCAGACCCTGGGACTTCTTGTCCTGCTTCTAAAGACCCCCACAGTGCACACCCTGAGTGCCCGGCCTGACAGCCCAGCCTGCATGCCCCCCCTTGGGCCCTTGGGCCGACACTTACCCTTGGCGCACTGGCAGGTGAGGGCCGGGTCGAGAGTTTGCACGGCTTTCTCCTTCACTATGACTCTTGTCACATCCTTGGCCTCCTTTTTCGGAGACTTGAGTGTGGGTGGCAGCAGGTCTGCCCTCGGGCTTGCAGAGAATTCAGACATGGTGTCCAGCGTGCTGTCTGCAGACGCCTTAGAATGTACTGATGCCTCAGATGCTGTCAGACATGGGGATTTTTCAAAATCTTCCGAGTAGACTGAGCATGCCGTGCTGCTGGCCAGCAGCTCCTGAGACTCTGGCTTCAGCCTGGCAGGGCCCTCGGAAGAGGAGGCTGCCAGCTCACTCAGGTGCTCCGAGACCTCCCCTCCAGTGGGGGCGCCTCCAGCCCAGCGGCTTTTGCTGGATGCCTTTACGCTCTGACCTTCTTTCTACAACAAAGGATGGCAGAGGTAACTGGAAAGTGTTTCTGGAACGATCGACATGCTCAGTATACCATTGCATTAAAATAAGGTGCAGGCAGAAATGAACAAACGGGACTACACCAAACTAAAAAGCTTCTGTACAGCAAAGGACACCATCAGCAGAACAAAAAGGCATCCAACAGTATGGGAGAATATATTTGTAAACAACATATCCAATAGGGGATTAACATCCAAAATATATAAAGAACTCACCTGCCTCAACACCCAAAAAGCAAATAACCCAATTAAGAAATGGGCAGAGGATCTGAACAGACACTTCTCCAAAGAAGAAATTCAGGTGGCCAACAGGCACATGAAAAGATGCTCCACATCGCTAATCATCAGGGAAATGCAAACTAAAACCACAATGAGATATGACCTCACACCAGTTAGGATGGCCAGCATCCAAAAGACAAGGAACAACACATGCTGGCGAGGCTGCAGAGAAAGGGGAACCCTCCTACACTGCTGGTGGGAATGTAAACTAGTTCAACCAGTATAGCACAGAGAAGACAAGTAGTGACTCTATAGCATCTCACTACGCTGATGGACAGCGACTGCAATGGGGTGTGGGGGGGTACATGATAATATGGGTGACTGTAGTAACCAGAACTTTGCTCATGTGAAACCTTCATAAGATTGTATATCAATGATACCTTAATAAAAATAAATGAATAAGTAAATAAATAAATAAGGACAAAATAAAATAAAATAAATGAGCTATGGTGTCACCAGGGATCCCAGCAGGCGAGGGCCCACACTGGCCCTTTGGTGGCTCTGGGGCAGCTGGGGCTGTGGGCAGGACTCTGGGAACACTTCAGCAGGGGGCTGCTGCTTTTTACCCTGAAGGTGTGAGCATGTGTAGGTGGCAGATGGGTAATATTTCGCACCCTGGTGCTTCTGACATGTGGGGCCTGAAAGCTCTGCAGCAGGGGCCACCCCGTGCACAGCAGGACACCGAGCGGCAGTCCCCAGCCCAGTCATGACAGTGAGACCATCTCCAGACATTGCCAAGGGTCCTGAGGGCAGAGCTACCCCCGATGGTGGAGAACAACAGACCTAAAGCACAGGGATAATGGTGGCAAGCCTTTCTACCTAACAATCTTTAGTGATGAATTAGCTAGTTGTACTTACTTTCTGTTCCAAGTCTGGTTTCTCACTGACAGCTGGTGCCAGATCATCAAGGGATAAAATATTTACTCTAACATCTGTAATTAAAATGTTAACATGACAACATTTACTCATTTATTTATGTCTACCTCTACATCGTTGGCACCGGGCTAAGTGCCAGTTATAGAAAGATAGGGAGACACGCAGTCCTCGCTCGAGAAGCTAGCACAGGGGTCCACCATTTCTCTCCCATGGGTTAGACAGAAAATATTCTCTACTTTTCAGTTTACACCATCTTTGTTGCACTTAGCTCTGTCCTTATGATGTGAAAGCTGCCAGACCCTGTGTAAATGAATGGGCATAGCTGTGTTTCAATAAACCTTTATTTATAAAAACAGGTGCCAGGCCTTGCAGGCCCATTCTAGACAGATGAGCAGAGGACCACACTGTGATGAAGGACGCATTGTGACGAGCATGCTCAGGTACGATGGGCAGCTGGGAGGGCAACTCAGGCAGACAGGAGACGGGACCCAAAGTGTCTTAGGTTCTCCTGTAAAGCAACTTCAGGGCATGGGAGCCTAAACTGGATGAACATTCCAGCATGCCGACTGGGTGATCACCAGGGCCTGAATGTGTGAGTGCTGGCGGCTTGGGGGTCTGGATCCCTCGGCAGACTTCTGGCGTCCCGAGGGTTCCTGTCTGCTCCACAAATGAGCCAGCGCCTCCAGGTGTGGGGGAAGGCCAAGGGGCAGCAGACACGGGCAGGAACTCCATCATGTAGCTCAAACTCAGTCACCAAAGTCCTGGAGCTGTGTGTGTGAGTGGGGGGACAAGCTAGGCACTTCACGGGCACAATCTTCCTGATGTGAAGATCCCCACTTCACAGATGAGGACACTGAGGCAGAGAGCCCCAAACTGCACAGCCAGTAAGTGGCATGGTCAGGACGTGTATACCCCAGGCACACTGAACCTTCAGTCGGACCGGCAGTCACCACTCCCAGGTGCCACCCTCCCTCAAGGCTACACCTGGACAGCAGGGGACAGCAGCTGGCCACTGGGAGGGGCTGCTGCAGGCCTGCAGTGCCAGCTGAGAGCCAGCCAGCACAGACAGCAGGAGAGCAGGAACCCAGTCTGCCGCCTGTCCAGCCTGCCCTGCCAGCCCGCGCCTGCACGGCAAGGGAGGCAGCACGGGGCCAGCCTGGTAAGGGCATCTGTTTCCCAGCCCCTCGGGCCCAAGGACCCGAGCCAGTCTCACCAGGGTGCTGAGCGGCATGGGGTCAACAGCAGCCGCTGAGGGGGCATGGAGGGGCCCTCACAGCCACAGCCCCCAGCCCTCCCTCTGGGTCTCTGACCCAAACAAGGGCTCAGAAAGGGACTACTGTTGGTGGCACTTTGTTGGCTAGCGGGTCCCCCACCTACACCTGGGCAGGTCTTCCGCCCCTGACCTACCGGGGCATTAACATGTACATTAGTCTGGGACAGGGTTAGGGACCCTAACCCAAAACACAGCCCCTGGCACATTGAATACTTTAAACTGAGGGAATGTGAGAAATGGCAGGCATTGCGAGAACTCTGACTCCCCTGAGGCAGGTCCTGAGACCCTCCTGTGTCCCACACAAGGGACGCCCAGGGGAGCCACAGCGGGCAGGTCCTGCTCCATCCCCGTGGCTCACTCCCTCCTCCTGGTCCTGTGGCCAATTACATTTTCCCATGACTTCCTGTTCCCCGCCAAACCCCTAGCCTAAAAATCCTCTGGCTTGACCATTTCTTTGGGTCCTCATCTCCTTATGAAGTTGCCTGCATCACGTAAAGCTTAAGCACTTAATATTTTTTTAATATCTGCATGCTTCTCTCCCATTAATCTGTCTTTTGTTACAGAGCCTCACCCGAAAACCTAAAAGGGTAGAAGGAAAGAGCCATTTTCCCTGCCCCACTACTGACGGGCGAGCCCTGGACCACCAGCACCCGGGGGCAGGCCCGAGCTGGCGTGTCCACGTGGTCCTGCTGGCGGCACACACGGAGGACACCCAAGACTTGGGGATGATGATAAGCAAAGCAGAGGGAAGAAATGAATGTGTGGTACATCTTTTTTTCCTCCTCTTTCTTTCTTAAAAATGTGTAAAATTAAAACAAAAATCATCTTGAATAATGTAGAAATAATAGAGATGTTTAACTGGGACTGGTTAGAAATTTGTTTCCTGTTCTGAATTTAAAAAGGAAGGGAAGCAAATTTCTTTTACAGAAAGGGACAGAGTGGCCTTTCCTTTGGATGTGGCCTAGAAGGCTCTCTCTCTCAGGCCACTGCCCGTGAGTGCTCAGGGTTACCGGATGAAGACAGACAAAACCTGACTCAGCCCCTCAACCAGGAAAGCAGGTCAGGAAGTGCAGGGTATGGCGCAGCCCACTACACACTCCCCATGGCAATCCTGTGACCGCTAGGCTGGGGACCCTCGAGTGGTCCCACGCTTCCTGCCCAGGGTAATGAGTTACCGTTCAGGCTGTTATCGGTGGCTTCTGAGAGTGACTCATCCTGAGGCCCAGCCTCACGCCTGCCAGGGCGGGACGAGAGCTTGCTGTGCCCCATTGTTGAGGGTACTGACTTTGAAAAGGTTCCAGTGATGGAAAGTGACATCTCTCGGGAGGCTGTGTCCCCAGAAGCACGAGTCCACGAGCAGCCAGCTCTGGGGTACATACTGCTGCACAGGGTCCTGTCTCCTGACTGTGAAGTTGGCAGATGTGATGTCCAAAGTGGCTTTGGGCTGGAAAGTTCTTCACTGGGTAGCAAAAGGACTTTTGGTTGTGTTGGGATGTGATCCTAGTTTGGCATAAGCGAAGAAACAAAATTAATTATCAAATGTGTGATAAATAAGTCCTATCACTGAACAACACAGCTGGAGGGGGGCATGAGGCCAAGGCCTCAGTGACCCCTCTGTGCCCTTTCTCTTCTCCTTCCTCACCTCTGACAGTCCATGTAGACTGATTGGGATCAGAAATACTCCACAAATAATCAGAATTATTACTTTGCTTTCAAATACCTATTGTTAATTAACATATTTTCTAATTCCGGGCTTTCAACAGAATCAAAATGAATGTACAGATTCTTCCCCCTTAAAATGCAGCCCTCCCATCACTTCACATCCACTGGAAGGGCTCAGATCAAAAATAAGTGTTGGCAAGGATGTGGAGAAACTGGAGCCTTCTCAAACGGCTGGCAGGAATGTAAAATGGTGCACCCACTTTGGAAAATAGTTGGGCAGCTCCATGATAAACTATACTTATAAGTACTCTAGCCCCCAGTAACTCCACTCCTAGGCATATACCCAAAAGAATCGAAAACAGGGACTTGAACAAGTACTTGCCCACACATGTTCAGAGAAGCACTACTCAAAATCGCCAACAACTCAAATGTCCATCAACAGGAGACTACATAGCAAATGTGGTCTATCCATACATACGGCTCAGTATTATTCAGACATAAAAAGGTATGAAGCCCTGACACACGCTACAGTGTGGATGAACTTTGCAAACATATGCTAAGTGAGAAAAACCAGATACAAAAGGCCTCATGTTATATGATCTCATGTATATTAAACACCCAGAACAGGCACATCCATAGAAAGAGAAAGCAGATCAGTGGTCATCAGGGGCTGGGGTGCACGCAGAAATGGGGAGTGATTATTTAATGGGGGCAGGGTCTACTATGGAGGTGACGAAGATGTTCAGGAACTAGACAGAGGTGGTGATCGTCCAACACTGTGAATATACTAAATGCCACTAAATGATTCATCTATAAAAGGTTACTTTTAGGTTCTTTGAATCTCATCTCAATAAAAAAAAGTGGAAACACAGCCTTCCCAAGTTGATTCCTGTGTGGTACAACTAACAGGTAGGTGTGGACGGCTGAAGGCACAGCTCACCGCTGATGTTCAGTCACACAAAGTGCTGGCCTGTGGTGCACACAGTTACAAGTTCCAAATTCCACCCCTACAGAGCAGGCCCACAGCAGGTACCTGTGAGAGCCTGAAACCCAACCTTTCCTCGTCAAACCCTTTTCTTAAGAGCTTACTGGTCACGGCTGCTCTGAAAGTGTCTGGTGCTACAACATAAACGTGCAAATGCAAAGGCTGGGTTAAAAATAAATGCATGAAAACCTTACCAAGGATAATTTTATTTGTTCTTTTTCACTGGTGCTGCAGAAACCCTGATTTGTGTATGTCCCTTTTTCTCTAGAAGATTCCATCAAACTTCCCAGCAACTCTTTCAGTCCTTCCTCATTCCTGTTTGGAGAATCCAATTTCCTGGTAGGTTCTTTCTCTTTGGGTGTCTGAAAATTCCTCTGGTTCTCAAAATGTGCTTCAGGGGATGTACTTTCAATGGGCGGCCCCCTCTTCTTTAGAAACCTGCTGACCTTCCCACTCCGAGTGTTGCTCTCAGTGACAGGAATGTCACGGGACTGCTTCTCAGAGGTTTTACATGGGTTCGGTGAAGAAAGTTCAACTGTATTCCTGGGGGGGATTTTGTCTGCTCTCCTTGGAAAGCTGTCCTCAGAGGTCTTTGGGAGAGATTCCACACTAGACGAATCCACCCTCAGCTTCCGATTCATGATTTTGCTCTCTAGCTGCGCGACCTTTGCGAGGGTGGCCTCGATCCTGAGTTTGGAGGCAGTGGTTGGGGGTCGGCCTGAGGACAGCCTGGGCCCACATCCCAGCACAGCGTTCTCTTTTGCAAGTAAGTGTTTTTCACCCATAATTTGTTCTATTTTTAGAAATCTCCTATGACCCGGTGCCATTTGGGTAAGGCTTCTACTGATTTTCAAGTTTCTAATGTCTTCCATTTTTTAGTCTTCTAAGGAAATATCACTGAAGTCATCAAAAACATTGCACACAGGATGGCTGGTTTTTCTTGCTGAAGCCATTCTAGGGTAGAAAGGAAGAAAAGTTAGTTATAGCAAGAACACCTGTTCACGTTGTACACTGAAATCTGTCAATGCCACCCACAGGCATGGGAAATCCTCCTTTGCAGACTGGCCTTCCCTTCAAGTCAGATGATAACAGCGAAAATGTTTAGAGACTTGGTACCACTTACTGAATTACAGTTCAAGGCCAGATCTTAAAGGAGCCTCACTGTACGTTAAACCCAAGAGCCAGCGCTTCTCGGGCTCCATCAGCATGCTGACGCTCTGCTCAGATCTACGTCATCTCAGGTAGTGCTCACATAACCTGTGGGTCAGCGATTGTCATCCCCTTCCACAGGGCAGGTGGAGCAAATGAAAGGCCCCACAGGTTAAGTGACTGGTCAGGTCAGCTAGCCAGGAAGTAGCAGAGTCAAATTCAAAGCTCCTGCACACCCCCACTGTGCTTGACTGACTTGCCAGTGACTCCCCCTACTCTGGGTGAGTCCTGCTCCCCAGTGACACCTCAGGTCAGGCTGCTTCTTTATCCAAGTGTCCTCAGCTCCTACAAAGAGCTGTACATTAAATGAGCCCCCCAAGAAAATCTTATTTGGAAGGTTGGGAGTAGCTATGGACAGACCCAGCACCCCCCACCAAATGTCAGCCTTTTCTGGGGAAAAGAGCCAGAGCTTGAATCATATTTTCTGAGTTCCCACATACCCCTGAAAGAATAAGAATGACCCAGTGCAAGATTTACAAAGGTTTCAAAAGATGTTAAAGACAAAAGGATAGAAAAATATGGTGCAGGCAGGTGTGTATTTCCTGCAGCCCATTTAGTGAGGAACTCAGCAACAGCAATGAAAATGTGAAATGAATGCATGGACCCTGTGACCTGGCAATCCCACATCAGAGAATTCACCTACAATTATGGGCAGCAGTGTCTGTACTCATCAAAAACCTGAGCTTATCCACAGAGACCTGACAAAGTCTGGGAAACCACAGGCAGACAAAGGAATACTATGCAGCCATTAAAATGAAGGAGGGTGATCCATGTGCACAGCCATGTCTCCAGCATAATACATGAGTGTAGGTTGCCATCCATAAATCATTCTGTTTCTATGGGAGTTATCTGTGGTGCATGCCGCAGCTCACTAAATCTAAATGGAGATCTGTTTCTTGTTATCTCTACCCCTTCATTGCCTGGCGCCAGGGAAGACTTGCCCCAGCGACCTGGGGGCAATTACATTCCTGTAGTAAAGCATGTTAATCATTGTGTCTAGAAACTTGTTAACCCCCTCAAGAATGTGATGCCTGATCAATAAATATGAGAGGTGCCTTTCCAGCACCACTGTTGAGCTGGTACACCTTGAGTCCCCTGGCTGGCCTACTCAGGTCTTCGATATCTCATCACGTCGCCTCCTCTATCTGCAGGCCGGAGACGGGGAGAAGGCCGACAAGTGGCGCCCAAACAGGGACCTGAAAGACGGTGGAAACTCAGGGCGGAGAACCTCTGCTCAGCAGCACTTGCAATTCAAGGGCTGGAAAAAGCTCCGAAAATCGTCGATCCAGTAAGATTCCCAGGAAAGCATATGTAGGGAATAGGATCGAGATGTCAGGGACACTATAATGGGCCGACATGAAACCAAAGCAGATAAACTGGAGGATTACTTAAAATTACTCCGTGCCCTCCTGAAAACAACAGGAGTGAAAACTTCTAAAAAGAACTTTGCTCAACCTTATAAATTAAAAAGTATTGTTATCAGTTGCCTCCAAAGGGAACCCTCAGACAAGCTGATGGGAGTAATGCATGAAGAGATTTCAAAGAGGCTCACAGACAGGGAAACATTATCCCTGTGCCTGTTTGGGTGGATCAATAGCCCTTTAATAAAGAAAAAGTGGCATTCTTACACAAGTTAAAGAACAGCTTCAGCTAGATAGTAGAATTTTCGAGCCTGTGGAATTCCCCTGTATTTGTTATAAAAAAGAAGTCAGGAAATTCGAGACTCTTACATGACTTAAGGCAAATTAATGCAGTTCTTAAACCTATGGGACCTTAACAACAAGGCCTCCCTTTTCTGGCTATGATTCCCAAAGAATGGAATACGGCTATCATTGACCTTAAAGATTGTTTTACCTTGCTCCCCATTCAAAGCAGTCCTCTTAGGTCTGCGTTACTTTCTCCTGTGTAATGTAAATAGAGCCTGTAAAGTAATCAAGCTGAACCCTCAGATCAACATGTAAATAGCTCTATTCTATTAACTGCTTTCCTTAGAGGCAGTCGTCCTGGAGTTCAGCATTTCCTCGTCTGCAGCCCCAGGAAAGCCAAACAAGCTTGTGACTCAGATCAAGGCTCTAGTAGCGAAAAGTCACACAGTCCCTGCATTTATCAGACAGGCAGGGGCCTCTCGAGGAATGACTAAAGTTCAGGCAGAAAAAACTAGGAAAACTAACTGAGAGCAATTCGATCCCTAAACCCTAAAAAAGAAGTATCTTATCTTCTGCACACAAAACTGGCCCCAGTACAAACTCTCTGACTAGAGAGGCTTGGCCCCTGAAAGAAGTATGCAATATAATGTTATGCAGCTAAATATATTTTGCCACAAGGGAAGAAAATAGTCAAAAGTCCCATGAACTACTACAATATGGAGCTAGTTTTCTAAATTCTTTTAGTGAACATCTATTCTACTTATTAAGTTCATCATTATCTTTGAGAATTGAGAAGTCTTAAACTAAACTCCCTGAAATAGAAGAAATTTATCTTCTGCAATACAGCCTTGCTTTAAATGACTGGAGCTAGAATTGTACTTGCATTTCATTTCCAGCCCCCTGGACACACACAGTCCCTATCGGTACAGAGCCTTCATCGGCCCTGTTAGTCCAGGGCCATCTAAACCTTAACCCAGTTATGTAAACTGCTCACCCTTAGAGTGTATTCTTGAAAACTGAAGTACTTTTAATCAAGTAATCTAAAAAGAAAGAAGGCAATTAAATATTAGTAACTCAAATCCTTATATCAGTTTGTCTGTCTGTGTATATGTATTTATATGAAAAGTGTTGCTAACTGTAGTCATTATGTCTCAGTTTGTATGTTTGTGTGTCTAAGTGTGTAAAAGAAAAATAGTTTCCTACCTCCGGAAGGTATTAATAAAAATTGATTTAAAAACAAGCGCTTGTGAAAATTGGGCATTCTAAAACTTTCAGAAAATCTAATAAAAAATATTAAGCATTAATGCTAATTTAAGTTTAACTGAAACGGACATGTCCTTATAGTTATCAGCTGCCAAAGTTTACTTAAAGTTATTTAAGTTGATGTTACCTGTTAAACATTTCAAGAAGATGTTTAAAGAAAAGTTGACTTTGTCTAATGTTTGGTAAAAGTTTTGTAAGTAATCTAGCATGGTTGCTAAAAATAAGTACACAAGTGCAGCAAATAAACATCTTAATAATACTGTATTAATGTATAACAGTATATATATATATGCAAACAGCCTGAGAATTTTTGTGGTAACCAAAGTTCTTAAAGTTTGCTAAGTTATATAGACATGTTTTGTGCCTAATGAGAAATTGTGCTGTAAAGCACATTTCCAAAAATGATAACATACGTTCATAGATGTGTCAATCTGAAGAATGCTGGTGTAACAGTTTACAGTGGCCTATTTTTCAGTGTTCACTGAAAGTTAAAGTATCAAATGGTTTTAAGTTCTAATGAAAACTACTTAATATAATAAGGAAAATATTTCGGTATGCTAAAGATGTGTGTTTTAATAAGAGAAAGTATAAAGAATGGAAATTCGTTTTGTTGAGGGTAAAAGAAGGTAATTGTTCTAAAGTACAGCTATTTACTTAAAGGGGGAGAACACTGAATGTAAAAAGAAAGTTGTAGAAAGCTTGTGGAAAAACTGATATAGCTATGCTATGTGAAATTAAAGCAAGTGAGTCTTGATATCAAGTACACAGCAAAATTAGAATTTTGTTTTCAGTTAAAAAGACAAAGTTTTCTTAAACTGTTAGTCTGCTCTTGATGTTGAAAGATTGCAAAAGGTTTTCTAATTGTTTTATCAAAATAGTTTCTCATGCTTAAAGTCTCAATGAATTGTCTGAGTATTTAAGAAAATGAGATTCTAATATCAAAGGACTAAAGGTTAAACTTTGCTAACAACTATGTAAACTTCTGTATCTGCCTTTGAAGTATTTTGTTGTCATTCTAGTTAACTAGATAAGTACTGCTTCATGGCAACCTATAATCTTATTTAATCAAAAGCCAAAGAAACTTTCTTTTGACAACTTTCCAAAATCAAATTCAAAAAAGTGCTTTTACCTCTAGTTAACTCTGATATTTTCCAGAGGGCCCCTGGAACATGTCAGAAGAATTTTTTCTCCTCATTGGGAAAAGTATTTGGCTAATTTGGCTTATTTATCTGATATATATTTACCTAGAAAGCACTGTCAAAAGGAATGATGCTAAACTTTGTTACTGAATGTTTTGTGGTACAGAAATATCCAAATTTTCTTATGTCAACTATCTTATGTAAGCTCTCATCAAGTCTTTAACCATTATCATTTGTAAGTCTTTTGTCATTTAAAGTCACTGTTTTATTACTCCTAAACTAGTAAAGAACTAGATTTCAGCAGAACAGGTATTGGTTACATAAAATTAAGTAAACTAAAGAAGACGATTTTGTGGCTTTTTGTTTCAAATGTTGCTGACAAAATGTTGTAGGCTTTTTCTCTTAAGCTGACTGACAATGCTCCAGTTTACCTCTCTTCTATGCTAAAAAAAAAAAAAATTTTTTTCAGCTATATATCACTCATAAAACAGGTATTTCATACAATTCTACAGGTCAACCTCTAATTGAACATCACCATCCTACTCTTAAGCATTATTTATTAAAACAAAAAGGGGGATTACTGCCCAATATGATAAAATTAACTGCAAATCAACGATTAATACATGCTTTAATATCCTTAATTTTGGTCTTTTAAAGGGTGATAGACAATCAGCTATGGAAGTGCATTTTTCTGAC